CTGGTACAGATCCTATCTCAGAACAAGTACCTTAAAACATAGTTATTTTAAAGGGGAAAATTACAGTAAACAGAGAACATTTAATTACTCTTCGGTTGTTGTGATAAAATATGATGACTAAGGCTTATGATTTCAGAGGGAGGAGTCCATTGTAGCAGAGAGGGTTAGCAGCAAGTGGCGAGCACCCTGGCAGGCGCAGGAAACTGAGAGACAGTGTCGTCAGTGGCCAGCAAGAAGCAGAGAGCTAACTGCAAGAATGGCAAGGGCAGAACTCTCAGAAGCAGACTCCAGGGATGCACTTGTCTAGCAAAAGCTGCACCACCTTCCCAATGCTGTCGCCAACTGGGAACTAAGTCTTCAAATATTTGAGCATATGGGTGACGTTTTTCTTTGAAGACTTAAGTATTTCACATGTATGAGCATTTTGTCTGCACACTAGAAGAAGGGAACAGGTCCCATGGGTCTACAGTTATAGGTGGTTGTGAACTGCCATGTGGGTGCTGTGAATTGAACCTCTGGAAGAGCCCCCAGTGTTCCTCATCCCCGAGCCATCTCTCTAACCCTGTTGGGAAATTTAAGTACTTGTCCCTTACAGCTGTCTTCCTCTCCACCCAGCTGTAGAACTCCCGTGCTCTCAAGATTGATCAAACAAGGTTGTTCTCATAACTTTCCGGTGTGCAGTGCCATTGGCTTGACCCCCAGGTGTGGGTGGTGCATGATTTCCTCCTATGCTGAGCCCATCCCCTGGCTTGGGTATATAAGTCCATTACTCTCTGTAATAAACACTGGCAGCAGCTTCCTCTTAACTTCTCCTGGTGGTCTGTTAAGTGTTTCAATCCCGACACCCTCCACCAATCTCCGTACTCTGGCCATGCAGGTGCGGCATAACCCCTGGGTGGCATTTCATATTCAAAGTGCCACAGCAAGTTAGTGACATAATATGTTGTGTTCTGTGGCCACATCACAAACTACTCTCTAAACACAGCAGTTTATTTATTATCTATATCTGTCTCCTGGTTTCTGTGGGTGAAGAATCTAAAAACAGCTTACCAAGGTAGTATCGGCTCAGGAATTTTACCTCTGCTCTTAACAATGTAACATCTGGAATGTAATCATCTGGAAGTTTGATTTAGGGAAAGAACCAATTCCAAGCTCACTCAGAAAGCTGTCAGGAAAGAAAGGCAAATACCTTGGGAGGCAGAGGCAGGCAGATCTCTTGAGTTCAAGGACAGCCAGGGCTACACAGACAAACCCTGCCTCGAAGGAAAAAAAAAAAAAAAAAAAAACAAAAGAAAGTTGTCAGTAGGCCTATTTTCTTTGTTACATTGACCTATCCACAGACTTGCCTTGTGGGAGGGAAATTGACTTCCCCAGTTACAGGGCAGAGAGAGAGAGAGAGAGAGAGAGAGAGAGAGAGAGAGGGAGGGAGGGAGGGAGGGAGGGAGAGAGAGAGAGAGAGAGAGAGAGAGAGAGAGAGAGAGAGAGAGAGAGAGAGAAAGCAGAACCCACTGAATTTTATAACCCAGTGTCACCATTTCTGCAATGTCTGTTCACTGGAAAGGGATTACATAAAACTGTGAATGCCAAGAAGTTGCAAGGATAGGAGATATCTTTAGGACTGCCTGTCAGAGAGGGGCTATTGTACAGGTATTAACTATAGGATGTAGAAGCTGATCTGGTAACAAACACAAGTGAAAGAATGCTAAGTATTGGGAGCTGGAGAGATGGCCCAGTGCTTAAGGGCACTTATTGCTCTTCTGTAAAACGTGAGTCTGATTCCCAGCCCCCACAGAGCACAGCTTACAACTGCATGCAACTCCAGCTCCAGCTCTGGTCCCTTCTTCTCACCTCTTCAGGTACTCCCATCCCCTGCCAGCAGGTGCTCATACACACAGACAGAAACATACAAAATAAACAAAATACTGCTAAGTATGACTTATTTGTTTAAAACTAATCCAATCAATTTTATTTCATTTGAGACCGGGGGGGGGGGGTGTCTTATTTAGATGCCTAGGCTGTTCTGGAACTCGTTGTGTGGGCAAAGCTTACTTCAAACTCTTGGCACCCTTCCTGGCTCAGTCTCTCAAGTGCTGGGGTTACAGACCTGCCCTACCAAGACTATTTATCTCTCTTTTGCTTTTTGATAGAGGACCTGGGTATGTAGCCTAGCCTGGTATTGAACTCATGATCCTCCTGCTTTAGTCTCTTGAGTGTTGGGATTACATCTGTATACTACCGAACCTAGCATTATAAATACTTCTTTGATAGAATTGTGAATATAGTAATTATGCATTTCCTAAAACATCTATGGTTTTGGAGCTGGGCTGTAGCTCAGCTGGTAGAATCCTTTTCTATCATGCTTGTAACTTTGGGTCTGGTCCCCAGTACCACATAAAACTGTTCCAGAACTCTGGAGGTGGAGACAGGAGGACCAGAAGTTCAAGATCATCCTCAACTAAATACTAAGTTTGAGACCAGCCTGGACTTAAAAAAAAAAAAAAAAAAAAAATGTGGCTTCTCCTTCTAATATTGCTAATATTTCTGTGTATCTCTGCATACAATCCTAATTAAGTTATATCACAAACTTCAGTTCAATGTTATCAAGGATGTAGTTTCACCATTACGAATACACTGACAACATTACATAGACAACATTATACATCCATGGACACTTTGGGAGCTGATGGAACTTTGAATTCTATTCATGGGCTCTGTGAGATGAAGGAGCCATAAGATGGTGTAGGGCACTGGTCACTGCAGGAAGAAAATATTTACCAAATTAATACAAGTGTCTTGGACTGACTGAGCGAGAAAATGGTTCTATTTCATTTGAGTTATGTGTTAGTTTATTTGATATTTCAGACTTTACCAATACTGTATATATTTCCAAATTGATTATATTGTCTTGACTTTATTAGTAATAGTATCTAAACAAGAACATGAAGCAAGGGTTAAAACAAAAGCATCACATATCAAATGGGTCTAGCTCACCTTTTATATTTAAACATTGTTTATTGTGTGCATAAGTGTATGTTATGGTATGTGCTGCAGCTCCCTGCAGTTCAAAGGACAATCTTTAGGAACATTCTCTGTTTCCATTGTGGGTTATTCACTAAAGACTGCTCAGACATGGGTTTAAGGCAATACAGAAAGTCATCTATTAGTCAGCTGGTAACGATACTGGGTGTTCAGAATCCCAGTGTAGCCTCAAGCATTTCTTTGGGGGAGCTTTTAAGCACAAAAACCATGCCCTGGTTGACATACTTCAGTTAACAAGAACAGTTAGGCAGAAGAGAAACTTTAGAGGTCAAACAGCAAGGGTAGTCCATTTAGAGGCTTTCCCAGAGTGAAGTATAGACTTTGATGGATGAGGCCTTTGTTTTAGTTTTGGCAGGTGGTGCTGTCTACGTGCTGAGTTTTACAGCAGTCGGCTGTACTAAGGTCTAGGGGCCTGCTGTTACATTTCTACCATGTGGGGCCCAGGGATTTAACTTTCTATGTCAATATTGGCAGCAAGTTCCTTTACTGGCGGAGCCCTGTAGAAGGCCTCAAATAATTTATCTGTGCAACATTTATTTGTTTCAAAGTCTTCATTCTTAGGTAGTACAGTGATTTATTTAAAACCAAAGTTAGGGTTGGAAGGTGTCCTTCAGTGGCTAGGCAATTGTGTTGCATGTACCTGACAGCCTTTTCCTCCCTCCCCCATTATAGTGCATCAGATGAAAAGACAACTTTTCAACATATTTATAGTAGAACTGCAGAGGACTTATAGCTGCAGAGTGGTAAGATTTTGGTATTTCCAACAGATTAAGAGCTAACAGAATTCGCAGTCTCATGAATGTAAAGAGTTGTGCTGTCAGCGGTTAAGGCTTTTGTTTCATGTAAATACAGTTCTCCTACTTGACAGTTTCCTATTTGCTAAATACTTTGTTCCTATCAGAGTCCAGATTCACCACGATTGTAGGTAGCTCTCACCGTTTGCGAACCGGAGCTGGGTGAGAACAGATTGCCCAATTAAAACACAATCAAAACCAGGATTCGCGCCAGGAAAGTCAGATACTTCACTTTTAGCTCGTAATCCGGACTGTGAGCAGAGACTGCCCTGAGCAGGTTAAACATCAGAATCAAACTCTAATACTGAGTTTAAGTGACAGGCTGCTAATTACAACCTGGAAATTCTTCGAGGAATTTAACGTCGCCCTAAAACATCAAAGTAATAACGGTTTTAGGCCCTCCCGTAGCCCAGCTTTGAAAACAATAGCTAGTACACGCGCTGAAGGTTTTTTTTGTTTTTTGTTTTTGCAATTTGTTTCCAATCGGCCCCGGCTTGCCGAGTTATGGCGTGCGGTTCCGGATCCGCACGGATTTTAGGCTTCGGGTCCTTCACTGTTACTTTCATGCCAACCTTAAGAAAGAGCCCCAGGGGCCAGGCTTTGGCATCTGACAAGTTAGGAACCATCCCATGACGCAATCGCCCAGACGGCCGGTCCGGACTCCGAGTTAACACGAAGCGACTCCGGAGACAGCCGAAGCCGCCCGGTTTTTGACTAAGTGCGTTTAGCCCGTTAACAGGCTGAGAAAACCGCGGCGCTTCCGGGCGTGGGCCGCCTGCGTCGGCTTTCGCTCGGTGAGGCTGCTTCCCGCGTGCTCTGGGCCGGCGGCTCGGAGCAGCCACTCACGGGACCGATCACCCCGTTTCCCTCCCTCCCGCCTGCCGCAGCTCAGGCCCACCCGCCGCAACCCGACACGTCTTCGCGCGAGACCGGCCATGCGACTTCCCAGAAAGCCTAGGGCGACGTCTCCACAGCGGTTCTGGAGCCGCGCCTGGGCGGAAAGGTGGGCGGGGCCGGCCTCGCTCTTCAGCGGCCCTGGAAGCCACGCCCCAAGCCGGAAGTGACGGAGCCGAGCTAGCGCGTCGCGGCTACCTCTATGTTTTCGCCTCTCCTTCTGGAGTCGGGGAATGGCCGCTGTGTAGTCACAACGGAGGCGGATCCCGGGAGCCGTGCTTCGGCGTGTCAGGTAGGCCTTGCGCTGCGTCCTAGTGGCTCGGGAGAGCCGTGGAGACGGGGCGGCGGGGCACTGGCGGCTCTGGTGCGTGGTGACGGATCGGCGGCCAGGAGAGCCTGCGGGAGACCCTGCGCCGTCGTTCGTGCCTTTCCTCGTCCGTCCTTGGCTGTTTTTTTCCTTTTTTACGGCGCCGTGGGCCGCGGCGGTGGGGGATGGGGAGCCGTGCGGACAGCGGGCAGGGCTGCGAACCTGGCTCGGGGCCGGAGAGCGCGCGGCCTCCCCGTGCGCGTGCGCAGGCTCCCCTCCCCACCCCCACCCCAGCCGCTCGGCCGGGGCTCCTGCGCGCGCCCGGCGTCGGGTTCTGCGCAGGCGCGCTCTTTTCCTTTCTTCCCTGCCTATGGCAACGCGGCCGCGAGTGTTGGCCTCGGTGCCGGCTTGTCGTTGGCCCCGCGGGGAGCCGTCTGTTCTTCCCGGCCGGGCTTTCGGGGCTTGGCTAGAGTAACGGGGACCCGCGGCAGAGTGAGGCGGGCGGCGGGCCCACCGCTTCGTGCGTAGCGGTCGAGCTGCCTTCCTCGCCTCTCGGGTACATACATGTCAGTTCAGGCCCGCTTTAAGTATCAGGTCGAGGCTTGGGCTCTGTTGTTTGTAACCGACCGCCCAGCACCTGGGTGGTGGCGGGGAGTCGTTCCCTCCCCCCCCCCCCCCCCGTGTGAGTCGTTTTGGTTTCCTAGCAGTTCACTCTGTTTTGGACAATCGTTCACTTTTGACTATAGCAGTCGGTGCCTAGTTACTGCTTTGGAGCGTGAGATTTGGGTCCTAACGGGCGCCTCTAAGAAGGGTCCTTTCTCTTTTCCTGTAACACAAGCGCTGACGGACCTTTTTGGTAAGAGTTGGGCACTCCTTAGACATTTACTCAGGACATTGGCAGTGGTGATTGGAGGGGTAAATGGGTGAGGAAAATGGGTAAATAAGTTGAGCTTGTAACTCCGTCGTTCAGTGCTAACCTCGAACTCGCAGCTGATCTGCCTTAGCTTCGGGACTGATGGATTAACAGTTTTGTGTCACTACTCAGGGTCCTTGTTGAATTTTAAGATTTTTTTTTTCTTGGCCTGGGGAGTGCCCAAAATATTGGAGCTTTGTATCTCAAACTGGCCTCTTGAGCCCAACTGGTTCCTAACTACGAGTCCTCCATGTATTTATGTGTTTGGGTTGTATACGTGCAACACCATGCCCAACATACTTTTAAGTTTATCTGATCAAAGTTGGGAATCGTCAGGGCGGTGGTGGTGCACGCCTTTAGTCACAGCAGTTGGGAGGCAGAAGCAGGCAGTTCTACAGAGCGAGTTCCAGGACAGCCAGGACTGTTAAGCAGTGAAACCCTTTCTCGAAAAAACCAAAATTTGGGAATCAGTACTGTCTACATAATTTTTATTTTTCTATTAGAATCGAAAAAGACAGAAATTGAAAGCAAATGCACCTAAAACTGAAGAAAACCATTAGTCACTTTAGACTTACAGATGGCTGCTGCCACAGATACTTGTTTTATGTTTGAAGGGAAATTTGAGTTTGCACTCAAATTAGCCCTTACTGTAATAGTTGGTGTAGTATTAGGCAGTGAAGACCTTCAACATAGAAAAAACTTAGTTTATTTGCATTTTTGTGTGATCCTAACCAAATTCAGGGTATGTTGATGTGTGTTCCTAAGTAGTCCATAGTAAACAGCTGAGATTTCCTGTGTTGAAATAGCAGGCTCCAGCTACTGCCATAGGCAGTTGTAGTTCTGGGAATCAAACTCAGGGCTTCGTGCCTGTTTTCAAACACCCCCATCTTAGAGCTGATGATGTCTTAGCAAACAATAGTTGAGGACTTGACAGTGGATATGGTAAAAGTACTGCTGTGTATTAGGCTTGTTTTTCGTTGAGTTTATTGGACAACTTATATGGGGAGCAAACTAAGCTGCGCTAAATTATCTGATGTAAAAGAAATAGAAGTAAGGTTTTTTTTTTTTCAGTTGTATGTTGATCGATGGAATGGGAATTCCCAGGACCTGTGTTTGAAATCGTTAGTTGAACACTCCACTAGCTGAAATCTGCAGTGTAATTTTGATTTGTTAATAAGAGAGTCAAGGAGACCAGTGTATGTCTGGGTAGTAATTGTAAGTGGTTGTAGCTGGAGGATATGAGTTTGTGCATTATTAGTATCTAGCTGCTTAAACATTCTTAAAAATACTAATGAGTATTACCTCTGAGTCATAGCATTTAATGTTTTTTGTCTCAAGATTGAAAATAAGACTGACCATGAACTTCTTAAATAATAGTAGTAACCTACATTTATGTAACTTTTAGAGCTTCCTAAAACTTGATCCACCATTTCTACATTTTTGTAGATGGAGCCCCATAAGGTATAAAACTGAAGGCCACATGAGTCAGGGAGTGTGGCACCACTTGGTCACTGTGGTTCTTAATTCATGCTTTAAAAAAAAGAAGGTGGTAAGCAGCTGGAACAAACTAAAAGTTTGAGTAACATGTTTTATTTTAATTGTGGGAAGTGTCTGGTACAAAAGCAAAGTAGTAAACCAGGCCTGATGACTTGCTCCTTTGTCTTTAGCACTTGGGAGTTCTAGCCTCATCTATATATCAAGTTTCAGGACAGCTAGGGCTACATAGAGACCCTGTCTCTGAAAAACAAAGAAACAAAAAGGTAAGATAAACTCCAATGATCTGGTTGGTTATGTTTACTAATTTTCAGAATTTTGGGTGTTGTTGTCCATTCTGTGAAGTATTTTAAACTTCCAGATATTAAATATTTCTGGAATGACTTATAGAATACTTGTTAGTGCTGTATTGAAAACAAAGGAGTACTCTGAAATAGATGTTTGAAGTAAATTTATGGACAGCATGCAGAAAACCTGTGACAGAGCTAACCCTGTATTGTAACTAATGCCTGAGTATACACACCGTGTGCCAGTCAGCTTAGCTTTTTCTAGTCATTATTTAGCTATAAACTTGCAAATACTTTATTTTATTCCTATAGAAATTAAAGCTTGAAAGAGATTAACTTATCTAATGAGTTGTCATTTAATGAGTAAGCCTGGATTTAAACCTAATATACATATGTAATATAGTATGTTTTTCAGATTTTAAAATATGTGTATGACAGTAATTTGCTTTAAATTTGGGCCACAGGATGCTAAATATAAAATTAGCTTAAATATGTCTGAAATCAGCCTGTGGTGCACATTTTTATTTTCAGCACTCAGTAGAGGTAGGTGGCTTTCTGTGAGTTGAGGCCAGCCTAGTCTACAGAACTAGTTCCAGTACAGTCAAGGCAACACAAAGAAACCCTGTGTCAAAAAAAAAAAAAAAAAGTTTGAAATCCTAAGACAAATCTATTTTAAGCAGCTTTATCTTAGTGTTTTTTTTTTTTTTAAATTTTGTTCTGAAATAGGTCTAATTGAATAACCCTGATTAACCTAGTACTTTATAGACTGAACTGGCCTTGAACTTGATGAAATGCCCTTGTCCCTGCCTCATGAGTTATGGGACAAGAGACTGGGTTTACAGATTGATACCTTGTCTAGATCAATGATCTGTCTTTCTAATCTATCATCTGTCTGTCTGTCTGTCTGTCTGTCTGTCGTGTCTAGATTAATGATTTATCACCTTACCTACCTATTCCAAGATAGTTCAGGCTGGCTCTCACTTGTATTTCATGCCTCCCAAATGCTGTAATTACAAACTTGTGTCACTAAACTTTATGAACATTTTCTTTAATCACATGTTTTCTAGCCAATCTTATACATAAAAGAGTGTTCTAAGATATTTATGGATTTAATTTAATTAAACTAGATAAATTCCTTTTTCCCCCCCTTTTGAGGCAGGGTTTCTCTGTGTAATCCTTACTGTCCTAGAACTCAGTCTGTAAAAACTGGCCTCAAACTCTGCCTGTCTCTGCTTCCCAAGTGCTGGGATTAAGTGCACCACCAGCAGGCATGAGTTTGTATTTACTGTGGTGAATTAGATAAAAATTCAAGAGGCAATTTATTGTCTGTTTTCAATAGGAGTCTTTTAATAGGCAAACTTGGTTGATGTAAAGGGAAGGTTTGGCATTTAAAATTTGATACTTAAGTTTTAGCCTTGTAAAAGCACTTATTAATGCAATCAACAAAACACAGGCTTTGAGGTCTGGAATTTGGTCAAATTCTGGGTCAAATTTTTTAAAGTCTGACTGTGTACCCTAAAAACCACAAACATCCTTTTTGCTCACAACATGTCTATCTCCCAGATTGTTAAGTATCAAGCTGTTAGAATTTGGAGTCTCCAGCAGACTTTCTTGGTTTCATATTCTGTGTACATTCCAAACAAATATGTGAATGTTGTTGAGTATAATTTGATACCAAATTCTAGATATGTGCCCCCCCCTTGCTACCATCTTGCCTAGGTAACTGTTACGTTTAACTTTGAAATGTCCAGCTTGTTTACTTGTTCTCCTTTCTAGGTTATTGTCCTCTATACAGCAACCACCTTAAAATGTAGATAATTATGACTCTCCTCATAAACCTTTAGGAATTTCCCAGTAGAATTAGAGTCAGGTTTGGTAAAATGGCTGTTTGGTATATTGCTTGCTGAAGAAATTTGAGGGCTTGAGTTTGGATGTCTAGCCCACATGTGAACATCGAGGCTTGTAATCTATTATAAGGGAGTGAAGATAGTTTGGGGCAGAGGTTTGTTAGCCACTTTAGTCTAAAGGGTCATGAGATTTGTAGAGAAATGATTGAAGAAGACATTCTGATTTCAGCCTGCATGCATACACACTTACATACATCTTACAAGGAAAGAAACAGCAAACTTGCATTGTTTACTTTGGCCTACTAGATGCTATTAGATGTGTTCCATTCCTACATGTTTGACTTAATAATGCCCTCAACTCTCCATGCTTCAGCTTAATCACCCTTTCTGTCCTGAATATGTAAAGTTCCTGTCTCTTCCTAGAATGTTGTGTGGCCTTTGTGGGTCTTTGTGGTGTTCTTGTCTTTAGCTTAAATGTTACCTCATTAAGGAAGACCTGGACTGGAGAGATGGCTCAGTGGTTAAGAGCACTCTGACTGTTCTTCCAGAGGTCCTGAGTTCAGTTTCTAGTAACTACATGGTGGCTCACACCATCTATAATGACATCTGATGCCTTCTTCTTGTGTGCGGTTTGTTATACATACAGACAGAGAATTCATACATTAAATACACACATAAATATTTTTAAAAAGGAAAACCCAAGGACTTACCAAAGTTGTCCTAATCATTCCTGTTAACTTCCTGTTTTTGATTTCACTGTTTTTCTGAATCTTCCCAGTTGAAGGGCAATGCCTATTTATGGGATACGTTTATTGATTGACACATTCAATTGTATTATTTCTTCTATTTTCAAAATAGCATTTTTAAATTTGATCGTTATATAGTAAGATTCATGGATTTTTATTTTAGTATATGTGTCTCAAATTTATGTGTTGGCCTCTTAACAGTTATATATTCTTTAGTTTACTTGCTGTTCTGGTATGGGTGTTGGTGCATGCTTTTAATCCCAAAACTTGGGAGGCAAAGGCAGGGAGGTCTCTGATTTCAAGTCCAGCCTGGTCTACACAGCGGGTCCAGGATAGCCAGGGCTACACAGAGAAACTCTGCCTTCAAAAACCAAAAACAATTAACCAACCCTCCCACACTCCCTAAAAAAAAAGGATCTGAGCAATTTTTGTTCTGGAGATTTTGGAACTTTGCCTGTAACTGATAATTTCTGAATATTATTCACAAAGTTGTAACCTTTCAGTGTTGATAAGTAATACATATTAACTTAAATTTGATTGTCCAGTTAGCTTAGGAGTATTGATTCCTTATAGACTTGTGTCATTGCTGCCTGTTTCTTAGAGGATTAATCTGATAACTTGTTTAAGAATGTTTTTGGCATAAGTTACTGAGGTTGCAGTTGAAGAAATTTTTAAAAATCAGTTTTAGATAATATGAAGTTTTAAGAAAATGAGCAGAGCTGGGCTATGATGGTACATGCCATTAATCCCAGCACTCAGGATGCAGAGGCAGGTGGATCTCTCAGTTACAGGACAGCCAATGCTACACTGTCTTGAAAAGTGAAAAAATCAAGCTATGTAGATGCTAGAAAATACAGCATTATGAATATTGACTACAGGCTGCTTACATGTTGTTTTCATAATGCAAAAATGATTTTGAGATTTTTTTTTTCTGATGGAATGACCTCTTTCCTAAAGGTCAGGTGGCTACAACTAGAAATCAGTTGCATGATACTTTGCTGTGTTGTATCTAGAAAGTTTGCTTTGGTTTTACAGTTGAGTGGAGCTTGGAATTCATGGTGTTACTGTTTTATGTTTTGTCCACATGCTTGCTGGCCTTCACCAGGTTTGTGCTTGGTACTTTTGGAGGCAAGAAGAGGGCACCAGACCCCTTGAAACTGGTTTCAGGTGGTTGTGAGCTACCATGTGAGTTCTGAGAATTGAACAGTCCTCTGGAATAGCGGCCAGTGCTCTTCACCAATGAGCTGTTGCTCCATAGCTCAGGCTAACCTCAAAATTACCATCCTCCTGCTTAGCTTTGCAAGTGCTAGGATTATTTCCCATCATGATCAGCTTAGTTAAATTGTTACCATAAAAGTTTACTGTTTCCTAAATCAGGCAAAGTGTGTGCCTGTACTTGAAAGGTCACAGTGGAGGTTTGGGCTACATAATTTATTGCTACTCCTAATATATGTATTATAAGCAGTGCATATGTAGTTTACCATTAACTCACTCTTGCTAGGAATTTCAATTTAGACTTTAATTTCCCATCACATTCTCTACAGGAAGAATCTTGGCAGTATCTTAAAGACATCATTGACTCCTGGATCCTGAATAAAGTCCAAGGTAAATGACATTCATGTTCTATAAGTTTTACTTTTGACTTGAGATAATTGGCTGCGTCAGATGAAGTGATTGAATATTGTAAACTGGCTTTGGAGATACAGCTCAAGGAGTAGGGTACTTGCTTAATAGGGCATGCCCCTAGCACTACCAACCAGTTACCTCGAACAATTTGCGGTGGGGTGGGGGGGTTGGGGGTTGGGATGGGAGGTGTTTTCTATAAGCTCAGAGTTTGAGCTAGTTTTAGGAATTTTTTTTTTCACTTTTTCCATTGTATATTATCTTTTCCTACTTCTGTAAATGCATTTTCTAAGATTCAGGATACAAAATGGCATTTAAACACAAAGGAAAGCACCACCCACGAAAGATACCCAGTGCTGAGTGAAACTCCTTTCTTGAAACAGGGTCTGTCTCCTCCCCCTTTCCCCCTCTCCCTCTACCTTCTACCCTCTCTCTTCTTCACCCTCTCTCCCCCAACCTCTCCCCCCATGTCTTTCTCCTTCCCTCCTTCCCCATCCTAGCTGGCCTAGAACTCATTATGTAGACCAGGCTAGCTTTGAACTTACAGGAAGGATCCGCTTGTCTTTGCCTCCCAAGGATTGGGTTAAAGGCCTGTATCACTATGTTTGGCTCAACTTACTATCTTCTGTAATATATTTTTGTACTGTTTTATAGTAACACTCTAAAGTAAATCCCCTCAAAATTATTTAATGAGAGTTAAGATTTAAATATACAAGAATCTCAGGCTTTTTAGTAAATTTTTTAGTAGATTCAGTTTTATGAACAAGATTACTTACTTTGGGCTGGAGAGATGGCTCAGCAGTTAAAAGTACTTAGGTACAATTTCCAGCACCCACAATTACCTATAACTCTAGCTTTCAAAAACTTGACACCTTCTGGCCTTAATGGGTACCAGGCATGCATGCGACCACATACAGAGGAAAATTATCTATACACATAAAACAAATTTAAATAAATGAACTTTGTTTTCAGTTTTCTTCTAAGTGCTGGGAAAAAAAAAAACCAAACCCATGACTTGTGCATGCTAAATAATTATATACATGCTCAATTCTTTTTATTTTATTCTAAGGATTGAACTAGGACCTATTGCTTGCTGAGCAAGTACTCTACTGCAGACCTGTATGTATTACTAACTTACTTTTTTCCTTCCCAGGCTGGTCTTGAGAGCTCACATTATCCTGGTTAGGCTCTGAACTTGGGATACTTTTGCTTCAGCCTTCTAAGTAGCTAAGAGTGCAGGTCGGCCACCTGGGCTAGCTACATGGATGGTTTAAAAATTTTGTAGTAGTTTGAAAAAATGTGTAGACCATGTAGTTTAGAAATAATTGAAAAAAATAAAAATAAAAAAGTCACTTATCATCATAAAATATAGTTAAGATTTATGAACCTAATGCATGGGTTCATTTGTTTTTGAAAAATAAAAACAAATATAGCCTGGCTTGGTGGTTGTGGTGCATGCCTTTAAAGCCCAGCAATCAGGAGACTGAAGTTGGTGGATCTCTGAGTTTGAGGCTAGCCTGGTGTACTAGTGAGTTCCAGGATGTCCAAGGTTGTCCTGTTTAAACACACACACAAATACAAAGGTGCAACATTAAATTGTGAGTTCATTAACTCCTAGTTTATAGTATAATGATTTCATAACTACTTTGTGGCTTTTGTAAGCTCAAGTGTAATGAGTAGCCTTTTAACAATATAATACTGATATCTTCGTGTGAGCAGTTTTCGTCAATAAATTTTCTGTTGTGCCAATTTTGTTATAATAGGCTTTTGGTCAACAGTAAGCTATTAGTATTTAAGGTGGAACAGTCAGAGTTTGGTTGTATGTGGAAGTTTGACTGCCTGAGGGTAGTAGTGCCCCAGGATGTCTGGTGTTTAGGGTTAAACTTACATGACAAAAATAAGATTAAAAGGATAAGACTATATTTGTGTGTATGGGTGTGTGCATGTGCGTGCATGTGTGTTTTCTTCTGAATCACTGAAAAAATGTGGCATTTGGTATGTACATGCAATGATTTAACACATGTAATTTTTTTTAAAGGAAAAACACATTTTTATAAATCAGTATTATCGCTGATATCTATGAGGTCTAATTATCAGAGACCTACCTGCCTCTCTGAGTGCTGGGATTAAGCATGAGCCACCACCACCAGACCTTTCTTTCTCAAAGAGAAAGAGAAAAAAGAAGCACAAAACACTTCCACAAAAACACAAAATAAACAAAAGGCTATTAAGACCAAAAAAAAAAAAAAAAAAAAAGTAGATAAAGTCTATACTGTAGACTCTGCAGAAATACTCTTGTTCATTTTTTGTTGGTCAGGTATTCTTTGGCATGGTGCGTGCCCTGAAGTGTGATTAAATGCACCCATTGAGACTCCTTTGGGTCTCAATTGATTTTTCCTTTGTTATGCGTTTGCAGATAGCTTCTTGGTTAGGGTGGGTCCCTGTATCTACTCTGCTTAGTGCTGGGCCCCCCCATCTCTCTAGTATGTATTTGTATGTTCTATTTTCAGGTTTCTTTTCTGCAATACTCATAATTTTATCTTTTTGCAGGTGTCCTAGGCAGGCTTTTGTATTGGGTATGGAAAAACATATAACAACTCTTGATACTATACTGCTCTTTCTGACTTCTGGTTGGTGCCTTTAGATTGAGGCACATAGGTGTTTTGTTCATAGAACTATTTTGTTTTATCTTGAATATAATATCAGTTATGCAACTGAAAACTTATAAAGCAGACCGATTATCCCTAAATAAGTAAGTATTCATTTGTAAAGAGTAATGATAGGTGTAAAGAGTTTGTAAAGAGTAATGATAGGTGTAAAGAGTAACATAGGTGGCATCAGGAAATACCAAAATCTTCATCTGTATTGATTTAACCTATTTCTTTCGTTTGATTAGGAGAGAAGAAATGGGCCGCTCCAATTCTAGATCACATTCTTCAAGATCAAAGTCTAGATCACAATCTAGTTCTAGATCAAGATCAAGATCACATTCTAGAAAGAAGAGATACAGGTGAATTAATGTGTTTCTGGTGCTTTTACTAATGAAATGGTAACTAATATTTAGTGTCTGCCATATACAGATGTAGTGCTAACTCATTTAATGTATTTCATTCTCAGTAAAACTCCATGGTTTGGATTTGTTATCCTTATTTAGAGTTGAGATTGAGCATTGTCTAAGTTGTAATCTAGTTATCAATTGTGACTCAAGATCTGAGGTTCTTACTGTACTGTGCTAATACGTGATAAAGTTCTTAGTATTTTTCCATATTAAGATGTACTGGATACTTTAAGAATTCTTTGGCACTGAGTCATACATTGTTTTCTGGTTTTTTTCCTTTTTGAATCTGAGTCTTTAATGATTTCCCCTTTTTTGTTACTGTTTAAAAGTGATTCTTTTTCTTCAAATAATATCCATAGCACAGAAAGGAGGAGCCTACTGAGAATTAATACTAGTTTTTAATTTTTCTGTGATGTATATAATCATCTTTACTATATACCAGTGGCATTTTACTATATATAATTCCATTTTCACTGTTAGAAGTTCATGGTGCCATTTAAATTTCTCTTACACAATGACTTTTAGTGTCAGCCTAGATATGTTATATAATCTTCTGTTGGATATATTGATACCCTCTCCCCTATTTACTGTGCCTGCTTTCCCAAGGCCTGTTATAATTGTACTCTCTTGTTTACCTTAAACATAAGCTTTAAACGTATTAGAAACAGTAAACTTTCATACAAATAAGATTTTAAAATATATAATAATTTATCTTGTATGCATATTTTATTCAGCCCGATATATCTAAAATGGCAGAATGAAGTACTTTATTTTTCTTAAATTGATACTTATTTCATTTTTAGTTCTAGGTCTCGTTCCAGGACATATTCAAGGTCTCGTAGTAGAGATCGTATTTATTCTAGAGATTATCGTCGAGATTACAGGAATAATAGAGGAATGAGACGGCCTTATGGGTACAGAGGACGGGGTAGAGGGTATTATCAAGGAGGAGGAGGTAGATACCATCGAGGTGGCTATAGACCTGTCTGGAATAGAAGGCATTCTAGGAGTCCTAGACGAGGTCGGTCACGTTCCAGGAGTCCAAAAAGAAGATCCGTTTCTTCTCAAAGATCCCGAAGCAGATCCCGCCGATCATACAGATCTTCTAGGTCTCCAAGATCATCATCATCTCGTTCTTCATCCCCATATAGCAAATCTCCTGTCTCTAAAAGACGAGGGTCTCAGGAAAAACAAACCAAAAAAGCTGAAGGGGAACCCCAAGAAGAGAGTCCTTTGAAAAGCAAATCACAGGAGGAACCAAAGGATACATTTGAACATGATCCATCTGAATCTATTGATGAGTTTAATAAATCTGCCACATCTGGTGATATTTGGCCTGGCCTTTCAGCTTATGATAATAGTCCAAGATCACCTCATAGTCCTTCACCTATTGCTACACCACCCAGTCAGAGTTCATCTTGCTCAGATGCCCCCATGCTTAGTACAGTCCACTCTGCCAAAAACACCCCTTCTCAGCATTCACATTCCATTCAGCATAGTCCTGAAAGGTCTGGCTCTGGTTCTGTTGGAAATGGGTCTAGTCGATACAGTCCTTCCCAGAATAGTCCGATTCATCATATCCCTTCACGAAGAAGCCCTGCAAAGACAGTCGCACCACAGAATGCTCCAAGAGAGGAATCTAGGGGGCGGTCCTCTTTTTATCCTGATGGAGGAGATCAGGAAACAGCAAAGACAGGAAAGTTTTTAAAAAGGTAAGAACCCAAAGTAGGGCATTTAGATTATCATAGTAATGATTTTAAAAAATGTTATAAATAATGATTTTAAAATAGCATTGTGGTATGTGATTAACTCTTTGTACATGTCCTATTGATAATTCTAATTTTTTAAATGTTTAAGTGATATTTCTATTCTTTGTTTTACTGTTAGCTATTTTTGGTCAGTTCACAGTAGTTATATAAACAAGGAAAAACTAAGTAGCCTAAGATAACTAATGATATTTATTAAAAGCAACAATCTTTTGTTAGGGATTTTTTTTTTCCCTTTTGCTTTAGAATGTTCTTATGTGGTAATACATACACTCCAGCTGTCAATACTTAGTGAATTCTGTCTGGCTTGGAAAACACATCTTGATAATTCTCAGTGAGTTTAATGACAATATAAATACATTGTTTAAATTCTAATTTCAAGCATTACAGAAAGAGATGCTAACAAATTCATAGAAATTAGGCTGTTAATACAATATGATTGACCTAAAAAGTGAGAAAGTAGAACAAATATATTTTTACAGTGCAACCTAGAATTTTTCACTGAGCTGATGAATAGCTTATTACCAGAAGTCATTGTTTTTTAGAGCAAATTTATATGAACTATTTTGTGATGGAGTTATAGAGTATTGAAATGTAATACTATTTTATTAACATCTCTGAGCTCTTGTTTATATTGATAGAATAAAGTAAATGTGACATACACATACCTATAATCCCAGTGTTATAGAGGCGGATGTAGGAATCATAGAAAGCGGGAGCTAGCCTGGAATCCTGCAAAATACAGAAAGTGAAATCTGAAAATTTGAGCACATATAAATTGATTTTTAGTAGGTATTTGTATAGCCTATTAGTGGTTCCTAACCTCAAAAAGTTAATTTTAGGATGTCTTATAATTTAGATTTATTATAATAATATTGTGGTGAGTGACTGCATAGAGTAGTTGTTTGAGTATGGCTTTACTTTAAACTTTGGGAAGTATAAAGTTAAGTTCTGTCTGAATGCTTTTAAGAACAAGGTTAATTTTCAGTAGGGTTATTTTCTTTTGTTGGACAACACATTTAAATACACAAATTGTCTACAGTGATTACAATCCAGAGTTACTGTCCTTTTCTTGTTCACAGGTTCACAGATGAAGAGTCTAGAGTGTTCCTGCTTGATAGGGGTAACCCCAGGGATAAAGAGGCTCCCAAGGAGAAAGGATCAGAGAAAGGCAGGGCAGAGGGAGATTGGGAAGACCAGGAAGTTCTAGATTACTTCAGTGATAAAGAGTCTGGAAAACAAAAATTTAATGATTCAGAAGGGGATGACACAGAGGAGACAGAGGATTATAGACAGTTCAGGAAGTCGGTCCTGGCAGATCAAGGGAAAAGCTTTGCTACTTCATCTCACCGGAATACTGAGGAGGAGGGACCTAAATATAAGTCCAAAGTTTCACTAAAAGGCAATAGAGAAAGTGATGGATTTAGAGAAGAAAAAAATTATAAACTGAAAGAGACTGGATACATAGTGGAAAGGCCTAGCACTGCGAAAGATAAGCACAAGGAAGAGGACAAAGGCTCTGAAAGAATAACAGTAAAGAAAGATACACAGTCACCTGAGCAGGTAAAGTCTGAAAAGCTCAAAGACCTCTTTGATTACAGTCCCCCTCTACACAAGAATATAGATGCACGAGAAAAGTCTATCTTCAGAGAGGAGAGCCCGCTTAGGATCAAAATGATAGCCAGTGATTCTCATCGACCTGAAGTCAAACTCAAAATGGCACCTGTTCCTCTTGATGATTCTAACAGGTAATTCCACATTGATGCCCAGTAAGTAATCTGGAGGTAGTTAATGGTGAAATTATTTTCTGAACATGGAATTTACACTTTGAAACCAATGCTGTATTTTGTGTGTGTGTTGTGTGTGTTTGTTTTGATATATTCTAGGCCAGCCTCATTGACTAAAGACAGGCTACTTGCTAGTACGCTTGTCCATTCTGTCAAGAAGGAGCAAGAATTCCGATCCATCTTTGACCACATTAAGTTGCCTCAGGCCAGCAAAAGCACTTCAGAGTCATTTATACAACACATTGTATCCTTGGTTCATCATGTTAAAGGTATGCTTTATATATTTAGTATCATGAAGTAAACTAATCTTGCATGCAAAATAAAAGAGTAGTTAAATTGAGTAATAGCTGTGCTAATTGAGCTAGTAGGTAGAGGCATCAGTACTTGGATATTCAATACTTGGAAAATATTTTGTAGAGATGATACATACCAGTGTTACTAGCATTGAGACTAATGATTAAGATGAGCAAATGCCTGGAGTTAAAACATAAAAACCTGTACCGTATCAAAGTATAACACAGATTTGTTTAGTGCTATAAATTTAAATATATCATATTACATGTAAAGTGAAGACTCTTTAATAAGACTGTTTAAAGATTGTCATTGTATGCCTATGACCTGGTAACACATAATGCATACATTTATAACAACTCTAGGTAGTATAGTTAATATTTTACTGAGAATTTGTAGTCAGTTTAAATCGGAAGGCATTAGAAAAATAGTTGTTGAATTTGTGCTACTTTGTTTATAATATTTCAGTTCTCTGGGTTTATTATGTAAAATGGGAATTTTAAAGCAGTGCAACTGTATTAGTGGGTATATGAGTAATGACTAATTAGAATAATATCTTTAGGTTGTAAAAAGTAAAGGCTCGTTTTAGCAAAAGACATAACTTCATTTTTTTCACCAGTATGTAGTTGTAGTTCAAAAGCTGCTTACAAATTTCAAAGGTTTTAGAGTACAGTTTTGTTTGGGGTCAATTAGATAAGTTTTGCTTTGGTTATTTTTATATTTAGCAGGTTCTTTGCCCGGAAACTCAATGGCTGTTGCTCTGTCTTTTTTTTTTTGGTTTTGTTTTGTTTTTGGTTTTTGGTAAAGTTGGTCTCATGAACAACTCTTAATACCTGAAGTTTGTCGCTCACAGTTCCTTACACTGAATAATAGTTAATAAATTTCTTTTTGGCTATAGTCAGCATGGTAACGATTCTTGCTGTTTGGCTGTAGATAAGCTTGCGAACCATATTACCACTTTTATGACTATAGTATTGTGGCATATAAAATTAGGAAGCATTAACTTTTTTTTCTTTTTTCAACCTTTTTTTTTTTGACCTGTCTCCACAGTTTATTGATGAATTTTGAGATCAGATTTTGATACATTTTTTTCCTTTTTCATTTTGTTTTTTTAGAGGATCTGTAGTTATGTTTCATAATTGGTGTTGTGCAACCGATCTGAACAGCTCTTACTTTATATAGAGCTGAAAATGCCCAGTGATGTTTTCTTTTTCATTGTAACTAGGTCCTGGAATATGTTTTGAAATGGCAAAATCCATGTTTCAAAGTAAAATAGCTGTTGAAAGATACAGGCAAAGTTGAATCTTCTGTCTTCCTGGCAAAAATGGCATAAAAACTGAGTTGCTAGCTCAAATTCCTGGGTTTCATGGAATTATGATTGAGGCACTACCCTTGTAGTGGCCGTTTCAAGTTTTAATGATTGGTTATGAGACATGTGCTGGATATTGGGCGGTAAGTTGACACAGATGTATGTTGATCTGTTAAGCAGATAGCTTGCTTCATAATGTAACATTTCATAGTTCATGAAATACACGTCTCTATTTTACATTTTCAGCGTTATCTTAAACTGGTTTAGAAACTAATCAATATTGTTATTACTAATTTAAAAAATGTTTAAAAGAGAGATAGAATATCGTATGTGCTGTCAGGTTTGCCAAGATGCCAGATTTTTTTGAGGAATTAGTGAATGTAAATCAATTTCAAAGTGTTTTTTCCCCCAACTGAATGGCACTGTTCGCTTTTTTTGTAATGCCATTTCTGTTGATACGTCATCACAGTTAAAATAATTTTACTAGTTTACTCAAAGTATCTGTGCTCTTTATTTTTGCTTTCTGCAAATGTTCAGTTGAAGTGACAACTTTGTTTAATTGGCAGGGTTTTAAGGACATACCGTCTTACTATTCCTTTTTTTGTTTGAGAAGGTAGTTTATTAGCATGGAGTTAGACTCTTGGTTAATGTATTAATTGTTTAGGGGTTATATTTAGTATTGACAGGGAACTGTGAGGACATTTGAAGTCATGTGTTGAGGTACAAGGAAGTAACAGAGAACAGGAGTTTTTAACACTTGATTCTCTTCTGCTAGGTTTCTTGACTATTTTTATTTTCTTTCACCCGCTCCATGCCCTTCTTTCACAAATGAAAATCCCCTCTTAAAATTAAGATTCCTAATTCGGCAGTGTTTCTCCTAAATCAACAGAGCAATACTTCAAATCACCTGCAGTGACCCTAAACGAGCGGTTCACTTCATACCAGAAAGCCACTGAAGAACATAGTACCCGGCAAAAGAGTCCCGAGATACACAGGTATGTATTGTACTGTGTTTGCATATAAAATATTACTATTGAAAGATACACATACACATATATCAAGGTTATATGGCAAGCGTGCTGTCATAACGAGAAAAGTAAACTTTGGCTTCTGTCTCTTAAGACTGAAACAATGTATTTTCAAGTTTAACCCACCCCCACCCCCACCCCCGATTTTAGTTTAGTTTTTTAAGCTTGTTAGAATTTAAAATGACAACCTAATCACTATGAAGTTTAAATAGCTGTAGCTTTTGGAGGCCTGGGTTGGGAAGTGACTGCCTAAAGGTACCTTTGAGTTTGCTGAGTTCATTTGGAGTAAAAATGCTTAGGGAGAAGCTGAGTTGGTCATGAAAAAGCTTGAATGTCGTCAGCCAGTTGTGTTGCAGTCTGGGTTTTGGCACTTTGTTGCATTGGGAACCAATTATGTAATGTCCAGATACCAGTATTTTCATCTACTTTACAGAATAGAGGTAAACCTTGTCTCTAACTTGGTGCTTAGTTATGTAGGTATTTTGATGACTTATTAAAGAAGCATTGAGAAGTTTTAACTCATAATAGCTTAAAATGGAAAGGTACAGAATCACACACAAATTGAACCAACTATATGAAATTATAAGAACTCTCAGAAGCCATTAGAGTGTTAATAACAATACTAATGTTGAATATGTTAATGTGTTATAATTGCTTGGTTTACTATTTAAAACAATCAGAATTTTTTTTCCTTTTTTTGTATTTAAAATATAATGGTGCTTAAAAGGTCTGCTATCATTTATATATAAAAATCTACCGAAAACATTCTAGTTGGTTTGTTTTGTGTTTGAGGCAGAATTTTGCTGTGAAGCTTTGACTGGCTACATACTCATGTGGTATATGTGGGAATCTTTGTTATCTCAACCTTTGGGATATTGGCATTGGAGGCATTTGCCACCATCTCCAGTTTTTCATTTATTTTTAATGTATATAATTTTTATTTCTTATTTTAGGAATTAAGTCAATAGACTTTAAAGTGCCAAATTGGTTTATCTAGGAGAGATTTAACTCTCTAGTACCCCCAACAATGAGTAAAATTTTGAAGTCAGAAAGTGAATTATGTAACTTAAAATACACTTTATTTTATATTAAGGAGGATTGACATCTCTCCAAGTGCTCTGAGGAAGCATACCCGTTTAGCAGGAGAAGAGAGAGTTTTTAAAGAAGAAAACCAGAAGGTATGTTTTTAAAAAATATACTTGCTTTTCTTGTGAAGCTGAACTTATTGATACTATACTGAACATTGCTTTCTAAGACAAAATGATTACATCTTTTAAAACTTATAAATGCATTATATTTATGGTGTTTTAATTTAAACCAATAATACTTTCTGAAAAATGCTTATCAGTGATAAATGTCAGCCCTAACAATAGGGACTTGGTGAGTAGGTAAAAGATTATCAACATTATTATATAAATTATATTGTGGTTTTTACGAGGTTTTGGAGTGATATCAATAAGTTGGAATTTGAGTGTTAAAGTTAATTGTATTTCTGCTTCTTCAGAAAATGCTATGTCTTTTGAGGACAACAAGTTTTGACAACCCAGGCTGTTCTTGAAGTAATGGCAATACTCCTGCCTCAGCTTCCTGAATATATAGCTTACTGACGTGTGCCATCACGCCTGGCTATTGCACGTTGTTTATGTGATTTAAGAAATAGCAACCCCTTCTTCTCCCCCACCCCCTGCTCTTTCCTTGCTGTTGTTTGGTCCTAGTTCAGTTTGTTTTTGTTTTAGCTTATTTCTTAACTATTGTCCCTTATGTGTTTTCCAACAAGAGACAGGTGGACCCAGATGGGAGGGGAGGTGGGGCAGAACTGGGAGGAACAGAGGGAGGGGAGACATAATCAGAATATACTGTATGAAAGAAAATATTTTCTGCTTAAAAAAAGAGAAATAGGCACTTTAGGCTGGATACAACTTTATTCTCTGTACCCATTAGGCAGAGACAGATGGCTTTCTCAATTCCAGGCATGTCTGAGCTGCATATACGTTCCATGCTAGCTCTGGCTACATCATGAGAAAGAACAGAAATAGGCGTTCTACAAACTAAGTGTACTTTTGTTTCTGTTGGACTACTTAGGAATTTGGCTTTGAAACTTGAAAAGAACCTGTGTAGATCCTACTGGTAAGGTGAGGAAGCCAGGGAGCTTAGTGAGACTGCAGAGCAGTCATTAATGGGTTCTGATGAGTCAGAGTTGACAATTATTACGTATGCTAGTTTATATGCCTGTAAAGTGTTTATAGTAGTCATATATGCAGATGCAGCAGAGATAGGAAAATTCTAAGATTTTTAGAAAGTATCTTCTTAAACCTTGACTTTCATAATTAAAAATAAGCTTGTTTTGTGGAGTTGTGGAATAATTGTGCTATCTTTGATCGTTTGTACCTTTATTGGTGGAAACTTAATGACATTGCCAGTGTGCACATTGTTCAATACGGTGTACCACTAACTGAATTGGTTTTGAAATCTAGATGTGTAGGGATAAGGTAATGTCTGTGCACAGGAGGTAACAGTTTTGGAAAAATTTGAACTGAATTGCTTTGACCCTAATACTTTAGGTCCAGTAAGTGTTAATTATGTTAATTTCCGCAACAATTGACAATATTTTTTTTCCTCTTAGCACTAAGACTGTTTGAAAGAGAAGTGATAGGCAATTAGGAGGACATAATTGGGCTTTGTCATGTTTCTGTCTTAGTGAATGATATGTTAATATGAAATTATATACTTAGGAAGCTTTACAAAGTAGTTTCCCTCAGGTTATCTTTTTTCTTGTGGAGTTAGTAATACCCATGTAATAAGAAAGCATTGATTATGACTAGATTTTGTTATTCTAGGAACAAATTGGTGAGTAGTACTTATCACATTGAGAGATGCATACATATATGTTTTTCAGTTTTGTTATGCTTATGATTATTACAGTTAGACTTCCCAGAATAAATATTTCTCATTGTTGAATAATATCAAGGATGTCCACATTGCTTAGCATCTTACTGATGTATAATTTCTCTTCATTCCTAGATGCCTCTTTTCAACTCCTAAATTATATAGTATTTGAAAAAGCATTGGAACAAGGAGGAGGTGAACTGTGACCCAGTTAAACTAATGTCTGATGCAATACCTGAATTGAGAAAGGGCAGTATATGGCCCAAGATACTGAGTACAGGATTGCGAATGTTTTTTGACTTTGTTTGACTTTTGTTCAGCCTCAGTTTTATTAATTGAATTCCACTTGCATGTCATGAAAATTACAGAATCCCTAATTTTGAAGTATCTTTTTCTTGGGTTTATCAACTTATCTGGGAAGAGCGTGATGATAATGAGGCTTAGTTAATGAGACCCATAACTTCAGGCTGTCAAGATTATAGACAACTACAGATGATAACTTTTAACAGTTTAACTATTTCATAGAAACTATTTGGAAGAATGAGAGTTAATCATGATTCACTGAGTAGAAGGATGTATCAGTTTGTTGCCAAAAGATTATTATAGATTGTTTAGAATAAACAAATGTAAAGATTTTAGTAACTTTTCTCTAGTGTTTGTACACAAATGCTCAGTCAAAGTGGTATTTTTAAAAGATTCCAAGGATGATGGGTTGTATATGATGCATCGGTTTTTGCTAATAAAATGCAAGTTTAGAATTTTATGTAACATAACTCTGAATGTATATATGCATTTCTGTTTCTTCCCTGAAATCTGTATTTTATGTGTTTTATACAGGGGGATAAAAAATTAAGGTGTGATTCAGCTGATCTTCGGCATGACATTGATCGTCGCCGTAAAGAAAGAAGTAAAGAACGGGGGGATTCCAAGGGCTCCAGGGAATCTAGTGGATCAAGAAAGCAAGAAAAAACTCCAAAAGATTACAAGGAGTACAAATCTTACAAAGATGACAGGTAATTGTTAAAGTTGTCTTCACTTAGGTTTTAGCTTCTAATTAGCCTTTAATAATTGTCAGCTTAATTGCTTTCAATTTTGACTATGTAATCGAATGTTTAAATTTAAACAATTAAAATTATTTGTTTTACAGCAAAAATGTATTTGTCTTTTACACGGCTTATGGTGGATGAGGACAAAAACTTTGGAATAGCAAGCTAACACTGAAAAAAAAAATGACAAATTAATGTGTCCTATTATCCAGGCTACATCAGGAGGTTGGACTTCAATGCAGTGCATTTCTAGAAACAGTTTGTGTAAGAACTTTGGTTCGTTATGCTTGATTCCGCACTTTTTCAACTCATAACACCCAGAGTACAAGACTGTTAAAGTGATATCTAATGGTTTAACATGGAGAGATGGGGGGGAGGAAAAACTAGAAAATAGGATTGTCCATTAATTAGTCTTTGAAAATTAGATTTCCATGGATATAATTAGCAGTGGTAAGAGTTACTGCAGGTATGACTTTTTTTGGGTGTTGTATTAGAATCATATAAATTTGATCATCATAGAGTCTAATGTAGGAATATAGTGTATTATAGATAATTTTTTTCTTGATGTTCATTAGGTAAATGGTGGTTTTGACTTGTGTTTTTAAATTTATGACTATTATTTGTATTGTTACATGCCTTTTATTTCTATCATGATGTTATGGCCCAAACCGTACAAACTGTTCTTACTCAGGGTGAATATAAATTAAGACTTGGACTCAAGAACAATTTCGGGCTGGGCTGTATCTTAGTTGTAGAGTGCCTTACCTAGCATATGTCTGGCCTTGGGGTCAATCCCCAGCACTGCAGCCAACAACAGAAACTCAAATCTTTCCTTTATTAAAATAACAAAAGATTATAAGTTAATGTAACGAAGAACTGAACATCACTGAAGTTTACAAACTACCAGTTTCTAGCTGGTAGGCTATAGTGTGTATGTTAATTTTGTAAGACAATCATTGAAGAGGATTGGAAACAGATTATCAGAGTTTATACCTGATTTTATTTATGTATTTTAAAGGGGATAGGTTTTTTTTAAACTTAAAAACATTCCTCATAAGATTCTAAGGAATTCTTTTATCTTTAAAAAAAAAAAAGCACAATTTTTTTCTTTATTTTTCAGCAAACATAAAGGTAGAGAGCAGGACCATTCTCGATCATCATCCTCTTCAGCATCACCTTCCTCACCAAGTTCTCGAGAAGAAAAAGAGAGTAAGAAAGAAAGAGAAGAGGAGTTTAAAGCTCACCATGAGATGAAAGACTACTCAGGATTTTCAGGAGTTAGCAGACCTCGAGGAACCTTTGTAAGTAACAGTTGTCCTTGATGATTCAGAAGGCTTTACCTTGGAGAATTGTAAAAACAGGAAATCAGATAGATATACCTTATAGATTATTAGTCACCTTTCCCAAAGTCAGAATCCATCTTGAGAAATGGATGGTATTTGAAATATTATGTTCATTCTGAAATGCTTTTTTGAGATCTTGAAACATCTATATAAATATTCCCCCCCCCCCACCCCCAGATCAGTAACAGTTTCAAAACTTCACTTATTTAATGGCTAGTTTTAGAAAACCCATTTTAAAACATGAAAAAAATCTTTTCCTCTCTTTATTATTACTGTTTTCATTTTTGACTTCAGGTCCTTGCTTGTTTGTGTACCAGTCACACTTTCCTAAGTCTACAGTATAGCATGCATTTTCTCTTGTAAAGTTTGCTGTAACTGTTTAAAGGTACATTTTCTCATGTCCATACTTTAGCTTTATCTAGCTGGATATTGCTACAATTACTAGGTCATTTAGGGAAAGGAAGAACTTTTCTTGTGGGATAACAGATGTGATATTAAACACCTGGGGTTCTGGTGATACAATTCAAAGGAACTAGATAATTTTGAGTTGGGGAAAGAGGGGATCTAACTATATCATAGTTTAAAAATACTAGTTTCAGGTCATGAAGGTACATATTTTAATACTTCAGTATATTATTTATATTAATTTACTCAACTTCCAGTTAGGCCTGTGGTATAAAATGGATACTCTTTCTGTCCTCAGAGGTTATGAAGACAGACAAGTGGCCAGAAACACATGAACACACACATTTTGCTTTTTTTTTGTTACTGCAGTAAAATCTAGAGCTTGCATGTAACTAAATACCTTTGATTCCATTACTAAACAACTTTGTTAATGTTAATCAGTTTCGAATTAGAGGCAGAGGAAGAGCCAGAGGAGTTTTTGCTGGGACAAATACTGGTCCAAACAACTCAAATACTACTTTTCAAAAGAGACCGAAGGAAGAGGAATGGGATCCAGAATATACCCCAAAGAGCAAGAAGTACTTCTTGGTGGGTGTTAGAAATCTGTTTTATTTGGTTTGCGTTGATTTTCAAAACATCCTAGGTGAATAGTAAACATTTCAGTACAGATGTTCACCATTCTGAGGTTTCACTGTAACTTGGGCGAACATTTTTTTTCTCAGTATCATTACTTAAATTGTTTGAAGTTTTGAGTTCAGATGTGGGTCCCTTTAGTTTTGATTTTATGCTTGATTTAACATCACATACAGTGGGCTGATCAAGGTAAATTAATAATATGCCTGATTTGATTGACACATAAGAGAAAAAACATAATAGTTAACTCTTCTATACCTAAGACAGTTCTAAGTGTAGAAACCTCTGAATTAAATTGTACTTTCTATCATAATTTTGTTTAAAGACAAGAAAAGGAATGTTTTTTCATGATTCGTATAATGAAGGATCTCAAGATTTTTTAAAATTCATTGGAATAATAGGAAAAAACAGGTTTTGAAAAAATATAATTGCTAGATATGCTGGCTTTGATCCTTGGTTATGATGGACCTGCTTTTCTTGTTCAAATAGTTTTCCAAGGGTAAAATAGGAGGTTGTGGTTCTTGAAGGATCTATATATAAGATTGTAATATTTTAGTTTGGCATGGGGAAAGAAAGAATTGTATGTTCTGTATTATAGAGACAGATAGATGTTAAGTTTCTAAAACTTACCAAAAGTATTAGTCTTTGTCATAACTTTTCAGAGGGAAGTCATGTTTTGGGGCTAGTTTGGAGAATTGAAAGTAAGTTTTAAATAGTAATGTCCTTAGACGGTGATCAAATCTGAGTGTCCACAGCAGATTTTTTTTTTTAATTAAGAGGCCAGATCTGAAGTGAATCTGTTGGGAAAATGATCAGTATACTTTAAAAATGGATTTCTACTTTCCTGTTTACATTAATGACCCAAAATTTGGCAAAGTTATGTAAGCTTTTAGAATGCATGACGTGTAACAGTCATTCAGTTTTTGTTCTCTGCTGAGAAACTACTAGCTTGAGTTAACAGTCTGGAAATAAATAAGGTGTATGATTCAGATATTGATGAATTGCTTTAGAAGACTCACACATGTTGGATTTGTTTATAAATGGGCTGGATAGATGGCCCAGTGGCTAAGAGCACTTGTTGCTTCTATAGGGTACCAGAGTTCAATTCCCAGTAAACATATCTTAGGCTCTGATACCCTCTTCTACCCTCTTCTGTAGTTACTTGTGGGGACATGGCGCACATACAGAAAAAACATACATACCCATAAATTTATTTAATTATTTCTTGAGACAGGGTCTCTCTAATGCAGTCCTGCCTGTCTTGGAATTCACTGTGTAGACCAGCCTGGCTTCACACTCAGAGATCCACCTGCCTTTGACTCCTTAGTGCTAGAATTAAAACATGTGCCACCATACCAAGCTAAATATTCATTTGAATATTGTGGTCTTTTTAAGAAAAACTAGAATTTGTAAATTTTAATATTTTTAAAAGGCAACTAGGATAATCCCGGTTTGGAGCTTAAGGACAAGTGACAGAAACTTTGCATTCTTGTGACTTTACAAAGGAGGGAATGAAGTTTTACAAAGAAGGAACTGATTCTTGAATCTTGAGCATAAAAATGGTTAGCTGGAGTGAATATATTCGAGGTTAAAGTGGTTAGGTTGTTGGTATAAATACGTTTGGGAAAATTGATAAAAACCCAGGAATCCTGATTGTGGTAAGCTGGGTGATGGTAGCACATGCCTTTAATCTTAGTGCTTGGGAGACAGAGGCAGGCAGATCTCTGAATTCGAGGTTAGCTTGTTTTATAGAGGAGTTCAGGACAGCCAGAACTACACAGAAAACCACTTGAATAACAACTAAACAAACAAAAATGATTGTGGTAGTCCATAATACTTTAGTATTAAAATCAATTGAAGAGGTAGATACCAGGTGCCTGAACCAAGGGGCTACATTTGAAAGAGGGTTTTAAAGTATTGCCTTCAAGGTTTTTCTTGGCATGGTGCTTTGACTGGCACTATATTTGATTTGGCCTCCTCCTGCATTTGCTTCCCAAATACTGGCCAGGTTTACAGTTGTGGACTACCACCTCTGAGTTAATGGGAACTTGGAAATAATTTGGCCTGGAGTAGTCTAGCTGAAAACCAAGAGGAAAGACACAGTATTAAAGAAAATTAAACTCTTCCCCATCTAGGTTTAATTCGAAGTGATAGGAGCAAGCAAGAGTAAACCCAATAGATAGTTGTTAATGAAAATTTAGAGACACCAACAGCCTAGAATCATCATATGACAGTCACCATTAAAGATGTGACATTACACGGAACACATGTTAAGAGGCCCACATTTCAAAGATAGATGAAGAGTAATAAAAATGACAAAGTTCAGGTGTGAGTCTCACTTCCTGGAATGCTGAGAATAAGCCTCTGTTTCCCAATTAGTGGGAATAAAGGAGTATGAGTGGCATATTGTTACGTTACATATTTTTATGTATACAGTGTTCTACCTACTTGTATGACTGCAGGCTAGAAGAGGGCACCAGATCTCATTATGGATTGTTGCGAACTGCCATGTGGGCGCTGGGATCTTTGGAAGAGTAATCAGTGCTATTAACCCCTGAGCCATCTCTCCTGTCCCACTATTAACATACCTTAAGCAGTTTAAAAAACTTGTGTAATTTTAAGACATGGTCTCAAATCTGCGTAGTATATGCTGGAGGATGACTTTGAACTCCTGATTTTATTGTGTCTGCTTATTCCTAAATTCTATCATTAACAGGCATGGGACACTGCACTCAACCATGGATTTTTACGTATTCATTTGGGACATAGACATTTTAGATTGCCTTACAATGCACAGTAATTTTATCAGTGTGTTATTTTAAGAATTTCGTTACTTCCCCGGTATGATGGTGAATGATTTTTAATTCCAGCATTCTGTGAGGTAGAAGCAAAGTTGATCTCTCTTGAGTTAGAGGCCAGCCTGTTTGATAGCAAGTTCTGGGACAGCTAGGACTACACACAGAAACCCTGTATTGAAAAAGAAGCAACAACAACAAAAATTAATTAATTAAAAGTGGTGATAATTTGTTGCTATTGTGGGCTTTCATTTTAATTTTTTTGTTCATGTTTTTGTTTTGGAGGCAGGGTTCCTCTGTGTAACCCTGGCAGTCCAGGAACATGCTTTGTAGGCCAAACTGGCCTCAGATCTACCTGCCTCTGCCTATGGAGTTCTAGGATGACAGGTATGCACCACCACTGCCCTGCTATGGGTTGTAATTTAAAATTTTTGATCTGTGTAATATGTGTATATACATGTACAATATCACAGACTGATGGTTAAGTTATTTTGGTACTTAAGAACAATTGAAGAGCATTTTGAATTCTCCAGAATTTTGTTTTTGTTGTTGTTTTTCCAGACAGGGTTTGTTTGTATTGTCCTGGTTGTCTTGGAAATCTCTGTGTAGACCAGGTGGCCACTGAGAGCCACCTGCCTCTGTCTCCTGAGTGCTGGGTTTAAAGGCATACACTATCACCTGGCTCACCAGAATAGTTTAACATTTTGTATTTTTATGTACTGACTTTAGACCATACCGAGAACAGAGATATGAGCAAAAATAACAATTAAAAAAATTACATTTAAAATTTAACATTTGTTTGGCTTCTTTAACAATAACAAACCAGTGTAGAAAGTTTAGTCCAGTAGGATTTTAATGCTCAGTAATATTTAAGTTAGACACGGTAGTGCATACCTGAAATGCCAGCATTCGGGGGATAGACACAAGTTTGAAGTCAATGTGGTGACCTACTTGCAGACATGAAAACAAATTTAAAGTTCAAAAAAAAAAAAAAAAAAAAAAAAATGTCTGTCTGAGTTGAGGCCATCTATATTCCAGAATCATTTACTGAGAAGTTTACTGTGTTGGGCTAGTAAAAATGGGGTTAGTATTTTGAGTCTGTACAGTATACTCCAGGCTGAATTTCTAATTTGTGGTCCTCGTACTGCCTTGTCGAATTATAGAATACAGCAGTGTTTGTTATATTCTTAAGTTTCTTATCTCCAACTTTGGCTTTTTATAAGGATGTGGTAATCAATAATAAGTTCTAGGAAAAAATACTAATGTCAGGTAGATCCTGAGAGATAAACATTAGGAGTTAGAACAAGTGCGAAAATACAGAAATGGACAAGTTTTCAGAAGAAAAGTAAATGATTAATCACTGGTAGAGTGAAGAGCTTCGGGATGCAGGAGGAGTAAAGTTTTGGAGTAACTTGAAATTTAATTTTTTTTTTTTTTGTTTTTTTGTTTTGTTTTGTTTTGTTTTTGAGACAGGGTTTCTCTGTTCTTTTAGAGCATGTCCTGGAACTAGCATTGTAGACCAGGCTGGCCTCGAACTCAGAGATCCACCTGCTTCTTCCTCCTGAGTGCTGTGATTAAAGGCGTGCATTACCAGTGCCTGGCTCAGACTTTAAATTTTTAAAACCCAATACTTTTTAAATTTATTAACTAATGGGGGGAGGTCTAGACAGGATATTGTTCTGCTGAACATGCTAACTTTAAAATGTAGATTCCTGTCTCCTGAATGGGATTAGAGGTCTGCATGGGATAACTTGATATGATTGTGTTAGTGGAGAGATGAAGACACAGGAGATCTTCAGTCCGTTATAGATTTCCTTTGATAACAAAAGCCATTTACTTTTAACTGTCATGTATGAAAAATATAATTAGTAAAATTAGGAGATTGGAATTTTGAATGTAAGAATTTGAAAATGAAGGCTGTTGAGAGCGGCTGAGGAGGTGGCTCAATGGTCAAAACCAGAATTTCCAAGATCCCATATAAATGCTGGGTTTGTGGGGTGAACACCTGTCTAGATCCTGCCTCTATAGTGGGAATGAAGGATTCCCCTAGCCGTAGCTACCACACTGAGCAAGACCCCTCCTCGGTGAAAAAGGTGGAGAGCATTCAAGAATGTTCCCAGCTTTAGTCATGGCCCTCCACAAGCATGCACACACACTTGGCCAAGCAACCACAAAGAACACAAGCCACACTCATGAAAATGGTAAGAGAAGAAAGCAAGTGCTTAGTGCCCACATAGTTGCTGTTAGGCCTGTCTGTGAAGGAAACATCTTAGTCACCTGAGCTTCTGCTTTCTTTTTACTTAAAATTTCAGATGAATTGTATCTAAAAATAATGGCTAATTTGGCTGGCACCCAGCTTTGCTACTACTGGTCTTTTTCATTTCTACTCTGAGTTGCCTGACGTGGGCATCCACTTATTTTATTTATTCGTTTATTTTATTTTTTTTTTGGAGACGGGTTTTTTTTGTGGCTTTGGAGGCTGTTCTAGAACTAGCTCTGTAGACCATGCTGGCCTCGAACTCGGAGATCTGCCTGCCTCTGCCTCCCGAGTGCTGGGATTAAAGGTGTGCGCCAGTGCCCGGCTTGTGGTTACTCATTTATTGCCCCCAGAATTTGTGGGAATTATATCCTGTGGACAGTGATTAGTAAGAGTTTTTATTTTTCTTTGTTTCTTGATGTTTTACTGTATAGGAATAGGAATTACCTGGTTCTAAAGATTGAATAATTAGTAAGCACTGTAGAGTTCTTGTTTGTCAGACGCTGGGTTAAGTTTTAGTTTTTTGGGTTTTTTTTTTTTTTTTTTTTTTTTTTTTCTGATTCTCTAGAAGTGTTCCCCAGGGCTGTCTCCTTGTATTAGAATGAGGTAAATTCTCAGAGAAGTTGTAAATGGCAGGTCTTTTTTCCAGAACTTGTTTGCTGCTTCTTACAAATTCAGGGACTACTAAATACAACACCAAACAAAAAGACTCTACAATAGAGTATTAATGCCACAAGTGAGCATGAAAAAATGTAATTGTAGACATTGTTTTGAGTGGCTCTTTTTTGGTTTCTTTTTTGAAGACTTATTTATTATGCATAGTGTTCTGCATGCAGGCCAGAGGAGGGCACCAGATTGCATTAGGAATGGTTGTGAGCCACCATGTGGTTACTGGGAATTGAGTTCAGGACCTCTGGAAGAGCAGCCAGACCCCTTAACTGCTGAGCCATCTCCAACTGGAGTGGCTCATTTTTAATGTATCTGTAATTTTGGTAATCTCAGAAGTCATTACCTATGAAGTCATAAACAATTCCATCTAGCAATCTTCATTTGTTTGGTAAAGGTATCAAATGATAGCTATTATTAGCAGTTGAGAACTTTTCTTTAGACTGGTTTAATAATTGCCTATACAATTCCAACTTGTAAGTTACGAAGTTAATCTTGACAGAATGGTATGCATAATGGGATATTCTGTTCTGCAAACAGTCTTTGTGATACTTTAAGAGATTCTAATGAAGTTGCTCAGTATAAACTCTTAAAAGAATGCAACATGACATTTGTATTATGCTTATTTTCTCATGTAGGGGAGTTTCTAACTTTTCATCTCACATTTGGCAGGTTTAATAAGTGAGTTAATGAGAGGGAGACCTTTGGCTTTTTGTACTGTCCTTCCCCCCAACTTTTAGATTGATAATTGGGGAGTAACTATTTAAATACAGTTATTGAAAATTTAAGGTTTGATTGTAGTAGCTTCAATACTTTCTGTAAAATAGCCGAGATAAATTGCCATGGGGCTGTGCTAGTATGATTTATCATCGACACTCCTAGGCTGCTGATTGATGTTTATTTACATCTAGATTTAAATCTCAGTGTAAGGTTTTAAAATCTTCTTTCATGCTAGGCATAATTTATGTAACAAAATAAATGTTATTTATTTTATTACAGTAATTTTCTGGCCTTTTCCGTGTCCTTACAATATTTTTGATTCTCATTACTTATAGTATGATTAGAGAATTAATTTAATGTCTTTACAAGAAAGCCATTTCATTGATGTGGTTTCTTCTTAAACCTTTCTATAGCATGATGACAGAGATGATGGTGTGGATTATTGGGCCAAAAGAGGAAGAGGTCGTGGTACTTTTCAACGTGGCAGAGGGCGCTTTAATTTCAAAAAATCAGGTAGCAGTCCAAAATGGACTCATGACAAATACCAAGGAGATGGGATTGTTGACGATGAAGAAGAGACCATGGAAAACAATGAAGAAAAGAAGGACAGACGCAAAGAAGAAAAGGTAGACATTTTCTGATTTTATATATTTTATTTATTATGGGCGTGGCAGGCAAATCTGTAAATCAACTTTTGGAAATAATTATAGTATTCACTACCCACAGCTTTATTGACCTCTAATTTTTTCCCCCCTTTTAGGAGTAGTCTCCAGATTGCAACAAAGACCAGAACTTGACAGATTTTTTTTTAAACCTGATTTTTTGTTTTCAAATAAGAATGTAAACATTTTACTTAAAATTTACTGTTTGCAAGTAGTCTGTAGAAAGTTTGTTTTAAGTCTTCAAATACCTTGGAAAAAATAGTAGACTGTATGTTGAAAAATGTATTGAAATAAAGTAGAAATTGTTCCGTACCATATTTGTAACTATCAGCTTTTAAAAACCTTTGACTGTTTTTGTTACATGCATTATATCTGCTTTGTCTATGAGAAATGGTCAAGTCCAGCTCTGTGACAGCCCTGATTCTCTTGACTCCCTGTTTGTTAATGTTTGGTTCAGAAGTAAAATGTCAACGATGCCCAAATCTACACAAACCTTCCAACAAGTTGTTTATAGTGACCACACAAATTATTTAACTAACATATTTTTTAATTTGAATACTACATTGTAGTGCAGCTAATTTCTGAAATTACCACAAAAGTTGCTATTCTGGTAAACTAAAACTAGCCTCACACTTCAGTAAATATATAAGGACAATAGCTTTGTTAATAGCTACAAACTACAAATTATTAAAACTTAGAAAGCCTTGACAAAGTGGTGTTGTTGCTGAAGGCAAACAGTGGTGTGCAAAGTCATTTTAGGATCCTTTCCGTATGAATTAATTCATAATTGGATAGTCTCTTCCATTCTCATTTGATAGTTTGAGTCATGGTCTTAGATACCTGCTACCTATAAGAGAGAAATTGGTTTGTACTATTAGTGTAAATAAAACTCCTAAGTCCACAGACCTGATTGTATTTTTTTTTTTTTTTAAAAGAACAAAAACAGCAAAAACTTGGGAGTCCTATTCATTTGGAGGGTTCTCCTGAAGTATAACTTTATACAATTAGTCATTAAGTACCTGATTGGATAACATACATATTTATTGAAGACTCTGAACTGCTGTAAATTAATCCATAATTTAACCATGTAATTACAGATCCAACATACTGTTTAGGAGTTTAATACTACCACTAAAAGATTTTGGCAGGAAGCTTGTAGCATTGATCAAACTGCCCACTTTTCCTCCCATTAATTTAAGTCAAAAATGGCCTTTTTCTTTTCAAGTAGTCTACTTTACCTAAAGAGGTTGATAATATTCTTTGCTATTTATTACCCCTTGGAGGAATAAAGTTCATGGTAAGACTGACTTATTCTAAACATGTAAAACTAGCCACTTTGCATCAGATTAGTTGTATATTTTTTCATTTAAAGGGGATAATGCTTATTCTATTAATGTAAACGTTTAAAGCTTGCAAGTGTATGGCTCTTTTCTGTTTTGATGATTTACAATGTGTCTTAGATGTTGAATAGCTAGTGACATTTGCTAAGGAACAAAATTAAACTAAAACCAAAAAAAATGAACATGTGATATGCTTATCTTTTTTAAAAATGGTTTTGACATTGGCCAATTATCTTTATTTTGAAAGTCTTTTTGTTAAATGTCTAAAGTCTCCCCCCCCCCAAGCAATAGCATTTTAAAAAAAACATTATAAAAAATATTCAGAACAGTTGAAAAAAATCAATAAAAATACAATGTGATCTAGATAAATTCTTCTGCAGGATGACTCAGTCATTGCGTCTGATGCAGCTTTGGAGAAATCAACCATCACAAACAGAACATTCTTGTCCTAGGGCTGTAAGGTCAAGGCTTCTTGCTCTTGGGTTGTGCATTGTGCTGATATCTGGGTCCTAGTTGAGATCCTGCTCTCATCGAAATAGCAGTGGATCCACAAGTTGGTGATTCTTTGTTTTAAAGTCTCAATATCAGTAAACTGAACAGATTGTCCACCACCTCTGATCTTATAAACATCAAACTTCATTACTTTAGTCTGAATCTCCTCCTCATCAGAGGCTAATTCCTGGTGGGCCAGCATCCATTTCTCATATCTGACTGGTGCCTTAGAGGTAGGCTTGTGATTTATCCATCTGGTCCCTGTGGAGCAGCACCTTCTGTATTGTACAGGCATTGATGTGTCACACACAGGTCTCAATTGCAGAATTCCCAGGAGGATCTCTGGCTTGTCAGGTTTAGGTTCAGTCACAATGCCCTTCAGGTGTTGGAGTTTTTCATATTTGACCCAGAGTTTATTTTGAATCTCCAGCTGGGTGGCTGCCCTCATCTCCAATTCCTTCTGCCATTTCATCATAGTTTCTGTTACCATGCCTTGCAACCTGGCTTCTCGTCTGCCCTTGCCAGAAAACTGCCACTGCCACTGAAGCTTGTGACTCTGGCTTCAGGCTTCTGCTGCACATCGTGCCTGTGTTCTTCGTAGGTCCTGGTGGTGGTGGTGGTTCTCCAGTCCTTCTGTTTCCGATTTCTGTCCTGAGATCATTTTTTCTTTTCTTTTCATATAGCTTTTCCTGAGATACGTTTCTTAAGATTCTTACCCAGTGTTGCATGATTTCTCCCATTAATTGTCCATCTGAAATAATTTAGTAAATCAGAAAATATCTGCAAAGTAACTTTATTACATCAGTCTGACATAATTCGTACCATCCCAATTCAGATTAATACTTAAACTCTAACAGTTTCATACCATTTTGTTTTATATGAATGCATAGAACTTTTAACAGTTTTATGGTTATACACTGAATCTTGGCATGCCTTTACTACTTCTATGACAGAGAAAAGTAGGTTTCACTGAAAAGTAATAGGGAATAATAGGTTATATTTTAAGTGCGAATGCAATGAATTAACCTTTGGTTACTTTTAAAGTTAAGAAGATCCCGCTACAGCATAGTAAAGTGGAACACCACTGTGACTCTCTCTTTCTAAGAGCCAAACATAATGCAGCCTGTGTGTAGTTTTTGAGATCACTATTTAATTTCACATTTCATGACATTGTAAAAGCTGAATGTTTCCTCTTGGTAAAACTGTTTGTTATAAGTGCCAGGAAAATAACTGAAAAGTTGTATTAACATACTTACTTTGCCAAGATCAAAGAAATAAAAACGAGCCAAAGTATTTTCCAGGAAACAGAAAAAAAAAAGCAGTTTTAGAAGGTCATGATTCAGTTATTAGTTGTGTATGATTTTTAACATCTTAGGAATTTTAATGAAAAGCAAAGTATTATACTTTGAGGAATTGTTATTGTTCCCTTTTGTCACCATTAAAAATCAGTGTTGGGAATTAAATTATAATTTGAGGGAAAACTATTACCCCATGAGAATGAATGTAGATGGCTACATGATTCTTACTCAGTATGGTGTATATTTCAACAGGGACCCTTGTAAGTTGTCATATGCCAATAAAATGTCCTAAGTGGTAATAGCTGTTGTCTGTTTACCTGATTTTGAGGCTCTTCCTGGGTAGACATTCTACTCAGCAGATTTCTGCTACCTGTTTCTAGAATTTGAAATATCAACTTAAGTGTAGTCGACTTGGTATATGGTTTGATAAATGATTTTTAAAAGTTTATAAAACTGTCTTAATTTGCTTTCTCTTCCTTAGAAGATCAGAATGCATAGGGTTTTTAGTTAGCCATTCTGAATAATGCAGGAATTTCAGGTTAATAGTCATCAAAAAAGTCCTTGAAAAGCACAGAACTTTGTCCGTTGGTTGGTTTTTCATTTTCTCTGTGTAACAGCCCTGGTTTTCCTGCTTCTGCCTCCTGAATGCTGGGATTAAAGGCATACACCACCACCACCACTCAGCCAAACTGCACAGCCCCCCACCTTTTTTTTTTAATATTTATTTATTCTGTATACATGTATATCTGCAGATCAGAAGAGGGCACCAGATCTCATTACAGATGATTGTGAGTCACCATGTGGTTGCTGGGAATTGAACTCAGGACCTCTGGTAGAACAGTCAGTGCTCTATACCCTTGAGCCATCTCTCCAGCCCCCTAATGCACAGAATTTTAATCCTACCACTCTGGCCTATCATTTGAGGTCAGTTAGAGCTGTGTCTTGTCTTTAAAACAAATAAGCAAAAAAAAAAAGTTAGCATTCCATGAGATACTTGTTTTGAGACAGAGTCACATGTGGCTGAGGCTGACTTTAAACAGTATATAGCTAAAGATGACTTTGAAATTCTAAGCCCCCTGCTTTCACTTGAATGTGAAATTGCTGGAATTGCAGTGCTGGGCTACATTTTATTGTCATGCTTGGAACCGAACCCTGATGCTTTGTACATGCAGGGCATGTACACCCCCAGTCAGCTTCTCTAAAAAAAAATACAGAAATAACTGAGTGGTTTTAAGTTAGTTGTTACCTTTTAAGATCTGGTACAATTGAAACATTCTTCTAAAAATTATTGGAAATACAAGAGAAATACAAAATATTCTTTTACCTTTAAAACACTTTTATGGAAGTTGGAATTTACATTTTTACAAAAGATGTGTGTGTGTGTGTGTGTGTGTGTGTGTGTGTGTGTGTGTGTGTGTGTACATACATACACACGTATACAGTGTACACTGGTGCACACAAAGGCCAGAAGAGTATATTGGGTCAGACAGCTCTGCACCACCTGTTGTGGATGCTGGGAACTGAACTTGGTCCTCTGGAAGAGCCGAACGCAATTAACCCATAGGCCAGTTCCCAGTTCTGAAACATAGCCAGCCTGCAGCCCTTCATTTATGTGTAGCTTTGCATGATATAAGTGTGGACGGAGTCAGCACAAACCCGCTAGATCTCTGCTTGTCAAGCTTGGAGGGCACAGTGTTGTCCTACCCTGCTGGATTTCAGCTTGTCAAGCTTGGCAGCAATTGTCTCCTTGCTGTCCTGGGAATAATACAACTTCTAAAAAGTTTTAGTTTTAAAGTTTGAAGCGGGTCTTGCTGTAGCTCAAGCTGTCTTGGAATTTTTAGATCTGTGAGTGCTGGGATTAGAGATGTGTACCACTATGTCTGGTTTAAATTATCATATTCTAAACAAATAGTAAACTTGAAAAGCAAAATCTTTCTTAGGGAAGTCAATGTATTTGTAAAAAAGGATATGTCATATTGTTAGTAACTTAAAACAGAGTAATTTGTATGGATTTTCAGTGCAAAAGTATATTCCATTTGTCAGGTGGCCTGGCTTCACTCTTATCTCCCAGGCTGAAATGGAGGCTGCCTTTGCCTTTCTGGTTCTGAGATTCCTGGCCTGGCTAGCTCTCTTGATTCTAGCCCCCTTTTCTGGGTTTGATTTAAAATCTCTAAGAAGTAATTTTTCTTTTTATTGTTGAAGTGAAATTGCTAAGTAGGGAAGGCAAATGGAGACAAGACACTTCATGTCAATGTAATAATAGATCCTGATGCATGCTTTACAAAATTGGGATTAGAAAGATTGTAATAAATCAAACACCATGACCAAGGCATCTTAAACAAGGGAATGGTTTATTTGAGGCTTTTGGTTTCAGAGGGGAGTCTACCACTACCATGGCAGAGAAGTCTGGCAGCACTAGAAAGATGAGCGTTTACATCCTAAGCTACAAACAGAAAGCAGGGTGTGAATTGGCAGCACTAGAAAGATGAGCGTTTACATCCTAAGCTACAAACAGAAAGCAGGGTGTGAATTGGTGATGGCCAGAGGTTGAGGTTTGTAAATCTCAAAGCTGGTAGTTGGTGACACACTAACTCCATGAAAGCCACACCTACTTAGCTTCTCCAGACAGCCAACAATTGGAATCAAGTATTTAAATGCCTGAGACATGGGACAAATGTCTCATTCAGGCCACCTCAGAGTACACACTTATCTTATTTCCGTAACAAGCTGTGTTTGGGTGGTATATAATACTCTAATTGATATGAGTTGAATTGATTTCAAAACAGTTCAGTTCCTACATTGGCTGACCTGATTCTTGATCTCTCTGGTCCTTTGAATAACTCCAGGAACAAGTTCTGTTCTAATTTCTCTTGCTACTTTTGTCCAAATAGGAAGAGCATGGTTCCAATGTAATATAGCATTACTGTATTTGTCATATAAATCAGGTGCATTCTTATGGTGATTGTTATTGTTCACTGAATGCTTCATAAAGGGAGTTAACTGCATTCTCAGTGAACCGAAGCATGAAGTTGATGACAGAATTGTGGCAGGTGCTAGTGCAGATTTCCTCTAGGTGGCTGCAATAAATAAATAAATAAACAACCAAACAAACCCTTGAGGATCTTCAAGAGAAATCTCCAAACAGGATGAAGAGTGTGTTTTCTGTGCCTGGGTTTTGAAGATGCTCTATTCCCATTCTACCCCTCTTGTGTTTGCTGCTCTGCTGTCTTTTGCTGTAACTTGGATGTTGACTTTTCACTGCTGGAATGGAACTTTAGGGAACCAGTGGTCTTGAGGTTATTGGAGCAGGGACTGGGGAGGGCTCATGTTAGGAGAACCTACTGCTCTTGGCAGAGAGCGGGGGTTAGGGGGTTGGTCCTTACTGTCCACATGGTGGCACAAAATGATTTGTAGTTCAATTTCTAAGGGTCTGATGCTATCACTTCAATTATGTGGGCTCCTGCAAGCTTGTACACACAAACACAGGAGCCTGGGCAGTTTACCAGTGGCTATTCCACTGAAGAAAATCTCTCCTTCCCTCATTAACTCTTAATTGCCTGCCTGTAAATCCTCAAGGAGGGACAGGGCATCTTGAACTTGCCGACTGACAGTCTTGTGTTGGTCAATGGGCAGTGTCACTTCTCTAGAGGGACCTGAGAGAATGTATAAATGAGAGTCTCATGCAATGACTAACTCACTTTATAGCCCCAGGCAAATATACTAAGGCTTAGAATAACCTGAGTAAAATTCTGAGTTCACACTCACTTGTATACACTGAAGAGGACGATTCAGGAGCGGCAAAAATGTTTTCCCATGGACAACAAACATGTAATTGAAGAACAGCAGCAAGCAATAATGAGGGATCCAGTACACCTGGGAGGTACACGAAACTATTCCAAGAACAGTTCTGTGTTTTGAAGAAACTGAGGTCACGAGACCTTGGTTTTCTTGGAGTGTGTGCTCACCACACTCAGTATTCTGACAAGCCTGCATCCCTGGACTGTGTTCCAACAGGTAGGTAATCATAACTGCTGAGAGTTGAGTAAAACCTTCATGATAAGGAGGAAGACTACGAGTTTGAGGCCAGCTTGGACTAATAAGACAACAAAAAAAAATCCAAAACAAAAACCTTGTAAACAGCATAACCCAGACTGGCCATGAAATCACTGTGTCCCAAAAGGGTAGCCTTCACCTCCATTCTGCGTCTGCCTTCTGGATGCTGGGATTACAAGCTTGTGCCAGTGTCTAGCTACTAAAAAGTGATAAACGTGCTTGTAAAAATAAAAATAGCTGATAGGATTTATAGTAGGAATGAGGACTGGAGAGAGCTTAGCAAGAAGGAGCAGGACCTGAATTCAGTTCTTAGCACTTACATGGTGGCCCATAAACAATACCAAGGGGTCCAACATATGTATGTGTGTGTGTGTGTGTGTGTGTGTGTGTGTGTGTGTATGTATGCATGCATGCATGCATGCATGTAAAACTGGTAAAAAGTGAAATCTAGAATAAATTCAAAAGGAACTTTTATTTTCAGTTTCTTTTATGTGCATTGGTGTTGTGCCTGCCTGTATGTCTGTGTGAAGGTTGTGGGTCCCTGGACATGGAGCTATAGGAAGTTATTAGGGGACTTGCCAGACTGCAGGGCCCTCATTCTTAAGAGCCTACTAACTAGCCCAAGTGGCTCAAGTACAGGTAACTTACCAGCTCTCCCTGGCGCAGCTTCTTCCAACTCAGGTCATCCATGGCTGCTTGCCAGGGATAATGGTCTCCCAGCTTGCTTCCTTTGGATGGCAGGATAGAAGTGTTTTGAAGGGAGAAATGAGAAAAACGGCAGGGGTGGGAGTTAATACAGGTAGAGATGAAGGAAGGATAAAACATCTGAAAAAGTCATAAGGTAATTGTTTTATATTTAAATTTATGAATAATACAGTAAATGTATGTGCAAAGTACCTATATAGTCTAAATGAAATTATGCCACTGACATAATAATGGTCTTAAGAAGAGAGAAAAAAAAAAAAAAAAAAAAAGAAAAAACCAGTACCAGGTATGAGAAACCTTCAAGCTGTTGGTGAGGTGAATTTAAGAGACTTCAGGAACAATGTAGGTTATTGCTGGTGCCTTTAGTTGCCGCTCATAAATTGAGGGTAAGTCCTTGTTAATATCTGAAGATAACACACATTTAGGACTCAATGACTTGTGTTGATCTGATCGATAAATAATGCCAGCACTTAGAGGCAAGAGTTTCAGTTCAACCTTTGCTAATGTGAGGTCATGTCTCAGCCAAAACATCAACAAATACCCCTGCCAAAGAAAAAGGCACAACACATTCTTTCAGAGTATTTATGCAGCCTGGGTTGTTTCTTTTCAGAAATTCTGCATTACTTTATGCTGAACCTTTTCTAGTTTGGATATTTTGTTCTAGATCACTTAAATGCCGGTGCTTTATTGCTACCAACTAAAATCGTTAGGTATTTAAGATTTTCAAAAGTTTATGCTATGTCCTTATGCATGGCATGCGAATTATTTGAGGTTTTGTAAATATTAATTTATGAATTCGGTTGTACTAGGTATACAGAGGTAGTATGTTTCACTCTGCTTTCCATTGTGTTTTGCTGGGGACGGGGATAATTAGAACTTTTGCTTCTCATTAGCTTTCCAAACTAAAATGTAGAGGTGTTAAAATCTTGTCTTAGGATCAGTGAAATGGCCCATTGGGGGAAACCTAAGGTCAACTCAAGTTCTGTCTCTGGATCCTACACAGTAGAAGATGAAGACCAATTTTCCACAAATTGTCGTTTGACTTTCACGAGGGTCCTGTGGCATGCACACACACACTGAGTACACAAACTAGAATGCATATCGTGGCTCATCGTTAGTTATTTCATTATTTAGCTTACGACTAGATATTTCCGCAGAATGACCGAGCAACGGCAAGTATATCGGCGGAATCTTTGTCGAATGCTGAGAAATCGTGCCACCATTGGGGTAGGGTGTAGAAGGCGACACCAATTGGGCAAAGGTTTGAGTCATCCACAAGATAGGCGGCGAACGCCAGAATGCATTATGCGCATGCGCCCCACTGGGACAGCTATTGGTTCTTGGCCTTCCAATCATAAGCGGCGTTCTCCACTCTTGCCCAATGGGGACAGGCGCCGAGTTCGGGCCCGCGGAGCTTGATAGTTGCTGCGGGAGGCGGAAGCGGCGAGCCGGTCCGGAAGACCCGTTCGGTCCATCGGCGCCTGCTTGGGCGGGGGTGCTCGCGCCCCTCGGTGGACTGCGCTTCCGCAGGCTTCCCGGTTCCCCGGCGCCGGGCCATGCAGCGGGAAGGTGAGTGGCGCGGGCTCCGGCCCCGTGGCTTCCGGTCAGCGGCCAGTGGCCGCTGGGAGGGGTGGGTGTGAGGAGAGCCGCGGGAGGTTCTGAAAGCTTCCAGGGGCTGCAGAGCTCCCGGGACCGTGGGAGCTTGGCTGTCGCACATTGACTTGCCAGGGTACCTTCCCAAACACTCGGTAAGGTTATAATGTAACAGTAAAATTTCATTGTTAGTGTTCTCCGACATCACACTACCCCCCCCCCCCCCGCGCTTGCATTTTCTGTCTTCAAAATAAAAGCTCTCCAGGAGCAATCACTTGATGGTGTCATATGTCATGAAAGGTTCTTTAGGCGATTTGCGTGGCAGTTACTTGTGAGTAATAATAACTTCTCTTCTAAGGTACCATCGAGCAATGCTTCCTTGAACTTGCTTCACCAATGTCTCTCATACTGAATACATTAAGAAACATGCTGGCATATTTTGGTGTTCCTGTAGACCAGGTAAATATTTTTAATGAATTTTGCTAATTTTAATTTTGGGTCTCGTCGTTTTGAGACAAGATATCGTGTATGTAATGACAAATTTTAAAAATAGGCAAAGTGGTACCTTGCTAGTAAGCAAACAGGCCACACACAACAGTTAGTGCAAGAGGTTTATTTGGTGAGGAGGAAGGGGAAGAGAGAGTGAAAGGCCATGTCGTAGTGGAGATGTGAGAGAGACAGGCAGACAGAGACAGAAGAAACCAGAGAAAGAAGAGGCGAGAGAGACTGGCGGGCACTTGTAAGGGTGCACATGGTGGAAAGGCTCCTGGCAGCAGGTGATGGTCTAACCGCACTGCTTCACCTGCAGAGGCAGGCTGTTGCCTTGGTGAAAACTAACTGTAGTCCAGGCTAAATGTCCGGATTTTGGTGACTTTGTTCTTGAGTCTCATTATTGTTGTTTGAGCCATGGACTCTGTAGCTCAGGCTCTCGAGGGCTGGGGTTACAAATGTACACTATCAGGTTGGGTTTGATGTGTCATTTTGAACGTGTTTTCTGACCTGGTTAGTTTTATTGTCAACTTGACATTAGAGCCCTCAAGGACTGTCTAGATCAGATTGGCCTGTGGCCCTGTCTCTAAGAGATCCTCTACTGGCGATAGATATACAGCAGGGTTCAGCTTCCTATGAAGACACCATTCTTTGACTAATGAGTTCTGAGCTGTATCAGAAAGCCAGTTGAGCAGTCGAGCTTGAGCCAGTTGGGCCTGAGAAGTTGTGCTGGCTTGTTTTTGTTTTGTTTTGTTTTTTTTTTAAATGTCAATTTGACAGAAGCTATGGTCATGTGAGAGAAAGAAACCCTGATCAAGAAATTGCATCCGTAAGATCAGGCTGTAGGCAAGTATATAGAGCATTTTCTTAATTAGTGATTGAGGAGTAGGGTGCCCCTCTGATGGAGATGTACCAGCATCCCGGTAATTCGGCACATTTTTTATATACAGCTGAACAAGGATGAGTTTTTTTACACAGTTTAGCAAGGAGCCATGTTAGGTAATCTTGGGGTAGCATCTCTTTAGGGGAACAGTCTCAGACTGCAGTTATCTGGGAGGAGGAAGAAGCTGTGGTTGATATTTTCTGCAGATACTGTAACCAAACAAATTCAGGCTAGGGGACCATCTTGCTATTCTCATGGGTCTGAGGCATTCCAGGCCTTGGCATAACCATGCTTATGTCAGCATTACACATTCACTCAGGACTTCATCTGCTCTCCATGGATTTGGGAGTTCAAGAATAGCCTAGGGTATATGACAGGCCCCTGACCACAAAAAAAAAAAAAAAAAAAAACCACAAAAAAACAAAGCTCAACATCACCTGACATGGTAATTCAGACATGGCTAATTTTACATGGTCCCACACCTATAGGAACAGTTACAGGTGGTCAGTGGCTGCTTCTAGAAGAAGACTCAATTGAGGAATGAACTCCCACATAGGCTGTACAATAGGCTATACACAATTCCAAGTGGTCAGACCTGAGCACATGTACATATACAGGCAAAGCTAAAGGAACTCTTGTAGTTATGTATATACATGTGTACATATACATATACACACTCACATTTGTATATACATGAATCAATACTAATTAAAGGGGAGATCATGAATTTGGGGCAGGGAAAGGACAGGAGTTGGGAGGGGAATAGGGAAGAATGGGAGAGATGTAAATGCAGTCAGGGCTTATGTATGAAGTCCCCTCCCCTCAAAATATTAAAAACCCAAACAGAAAAACAGCAAACATGCCCCCAGAAAGAATTTCCTTAGGTGGTCATGGGGTTGATTGGAGTAGTCTTAAGGATGTGAGGAAGAGTGGCATCAGTGACCTTCATTTGAAAACTTTGGGAAAGCGATTGAGAGAGGCTATCACTCGTGAAGGTGCAGCAGTATTGAATTTCTTTTACTTTTCAGTATTAGAATTAATATATTTGCTTTTTATTGCTGTGATAAAACAAAGCCAACTTAGGGGATGAAAGTGTTTATTTGGCTTACAAGCTTCCATCCACCAAGGGCAGTCAAGTCAGGGACTGGAGCAGAGGCAGTGGAGGGATGCTGCTCACTGGCTTGCTCTCCAAGGCTTGCTTATCAACTGCCTTCTCACCTGCTTAGGGGTGGTACTGCCTACGGTGGGCTGAACCTTCCCACATTGATCATCCATCAAGACAATGTCCCAAAGTTTTGCCTACAGTCCAGTCTTGTGGAAGCATTTTCTTAATTGAGGTTCCTCTTCCCAGATGACCTCAGTGTGTGTCAAGTTGACAGAGCACTGACTGGCACAATTAATTAACTGCAGTCTATTTTCAAGTTCTGGTTAAAAACTTGGAATACAAATAGAGGTGACAGGCCAGTGCCCTGGAGAGCCTGGCGGGAGAGGGAATCTAAATCAAGAACTCTAGGAAGGAAGAGAGGGCTCTGTAGAACAAAAGTGAGAGGTGGTAGAGAGAGAATTTGGATGATGAGAAATGAAATATGTCACATAGAAGTCTATGGCTTTTTTTGCTTGTTTTCATGAATAGAATTCCAAGATGTTAGGTAAGTGTTCTACCAATCAGCCTATGCCCCCTCCCTGAGGTGTTTCGCTTTTTGATTAGAGGCAAGGTCACTTGCATGTACTGAAATCGGTGTAGCGGATAACAGAGATTGGAGGAAGGTTTATTTGGCTTAGGATCAACATACATGTCATGAATCAGTTGCAAACAGTTTACTTGTGATGTCAATATAAACTTGTGGTTAAAAAAATATTTTGTGAGTTTTTCCCCTGTGAGAGTAATTGGGGGTTATTCATTGCAACAAGAGTATATAGCATTTTTTGAATGGAAGGGGCAATATCACCGAAGTAATTAACCAGAAAACCCATGCTTGGCAGGAAAATGAATACAGTCAAAATGAGAGCTTTGAACCAGGAGTAGAGATGGTAAGAGCCTTAATATAACGACAATGGCCAGTAAAGGAATGAACGAGTTTGGAGAACCAGAATTTCTGGGGATAGAAGTCACAGAGCCAGTCATGAAGACACTCTAACCAAAAGTTGGATAATTATGTATTTTCACTGTGACCTCTGGTTCTTAGCAGGCCTGTACATATGCATGGTCTAATATGTACTTTTAGTTTGTGTTTATGCATGAATGCCTACATGCATGTATGTGCACCACATGTATGTGATTGGTACCCGAGGAGGCCAGGAAAGAGTGTTAGGTTACTTAGAAGTGGCATTAAGGGCAACTGTGAGCTGCCATGTGGATACTGGGAACCTAACTCAGGCTCTCTGCAAGAGCATCAAGTGCTTTTAAGTACTGAGCACCTTTCCACCACCTACTTATTTTATTATTTTTATTTTTCCACCTATTTATTTTTAAAGGTCTCTAAATACTATTATAATTATTTGTGTGTATATGTATATGTGTGTGCATGTACTGTGGTACATGTGTGCAGGTCAGAGGACAATTGTCAGGAATGGTTTCTCTCCTTCTACCATACTCACGTTAGCAGGTTTGGTTGGTGGCAGGTGTCTTTACTCACTGAGCCATCTCCCCCTGCCTTTTTTCCTTTTTTTTTTTTTTTTTTTTTCTACCACTGAGTGTAGAATACTTTCAATAGATGTATTTAGGTCTCCCAGAATTCTGATATCAATGGGTCTAGGATTTGTTTCTTCTAGGTTGTGCTATTTGATATGGTAGCCACTGGCCACGTGTTCCTGCCTTGCCTTTCCCTTTTACATTTTGACACAGGGTTTTGGCATATGCTAAAATAACAAGCCATGATGGCTCTGAATTTTCGTCTTGCCCCAGCAACCCCCGTATTGGGATTACAGACATATTATATTCTATGATACCCAGCCACATGCATATTTGAATTAAGTTCTGTATAGGTATAAAATAACAAATTTTGAAAACCTCATGAAAAAGGTAAAATTATTGCCATCAGTAATTTAAAAATATTTATTATATGTTAATTTATATACTTGTATTATATTTCTTCTGGAGAGCATCTGAGGTGATTCTTGTATATCCATGGTGACAGTTACTACCCTGAAGGATGCAAATAAATTAAAAGCCATCTGGGCCTGCCCTCAAAGAGTTCACATTTTTTTTTTCCTTTCTTTCTTTCTTTATTTTATTTTATTTTTTATTTTTATTTTATTTATTTATTTATTTTTTGAGGCAGGTTTTCTCTGTATTGCTTTAGAGCCTGACCTGGAATTCGCTCTGTAGATCATACTGTCCTTGAACTCACAGAGATCCACCTGCCTTTGCCTCCTGTGTGCTGGTACTAAAAGCATGCATCACTAGCGCCCGACAAGATTTCACAGTTTTTAATGGAGGACAAGAATACTGCAAGTGAAACAAAGGCTCCTGTAACCGATGTGTTCCATTGTGTGATACTCAGACTAACTGAGAATTAAGTAGAGTTTAGAAGTATATCAGAACAGAGGTAGTCCAACTTGTAGGGGACCATGACTTGTGTGATCAAGGACAGGTGAAAACTGAACCAGTCTTGAGGTTAAAGTTGGGTCCAGGCCTCCTAAACATATGGATAGTGGCTTGTTTTGGGGATGGAGGAATTTGCTTGACCCAAAAGAATGTATATTTTATTGGTAATTAAATTGCTAATTAATAAATTAAATGGGAGATTAAATTGGAGACAAAGTAGGACCTAGTAGCAGGGGACTTTACAGGATGATTGAGCAATAGATGTGGATTCCTTGGAGTATTCTGTGGAGACGCCTGGCAGAGCTGAGGAAAGATTATGAGGCTAGTTGACAGGCTTCATGTTAGATTCAGGTGTTTAGGTTTGATCAGATTAACATAAGGGAGATTGCAACCAGCCCTGGGAGCACAAGTCTGTAATCCCAGCTCTTCCTGAAAGTGAGGCCAGATCTCAAGTTGAAGGCTACTGGGGTAAAGATTGAATTCAAGGCAAATCAAGGCAAGTTTGGGCAATTTAGTGAGAGTACTGTCTGAAATGACAGCTACAAAAATCCTCCTACCTAACTCTTTCACCTGGGCCACATCCTTTGTGCCAGTGATTCTGGCATCCAGGCTTTCTCTCCTGAGTTCTAAAGCTGTGAACCTATGGGATTTCTGACTGTACTACCTATAAAAATGTTCTCATGAGGGTGCTAACATGAGCGTGCTATAAGGACAGAGCATTCATGTTACAGCAGCACATTCAGTTTAAATGCTTTGTAAAGAGTCAGTTTCCAGCATATGTAACCCATGTATAAATAATTGCTAAATTGTCTGGGATCTGGTGTATTATTCTTTTAATTTCTCCCTTAAGGGTAATAACAAGTATTTTCTATATTGCCTGGCTGTCCATGATTTTTTTTGTTGTTGTTGTTTGTTTTTGAGATTGCCAGACATTTTTCTTATCCTTTTCTTCTTTTCTTTTCCAACTCCCTGAGTTGCTCAGGTTAGCCGTATACTTTAGGACTCAAACAGTGCTACTTTCTAAACCTGCTGAATAACTTGAGGTTATATATAAACCCACACATGGTAGCCAGTTTTTACTTCGAAAGATGGAATTCTTTTGCAGGTGAAGAGAGATAACTTTTTTTTTTTTTTTTTTTTTTTTTTTTTTTTTTTGCATAAAGTTTTAGCCAGGGTTCTCTAGAGAAACAACTTACAGAATGAAATCTCTGTTGAAAGGAGCTCTATTAGCTAATCCAACAGTGGTTGGCTCTGAATGGAAAGTCTAAGAAGCTAGATGTTGATCAATCCACAGGGCTAGATGTCTCTGCTGGTCCTCTGTAGACTGTGGAATCCTGAAGAAGTAGGCTCTAATGCCAGTGAAGGAATGGACTTGCTAGCTAGGCATGGGCAAGCAGGCAGAGAGGAAGCTTCCTTCTTCCAAGTCCTTATATAGGCTTCCAGCAGAAGGTATGGCCCAGATTAAAGACATGTGTTTTCCCACATTAAGATCTGGAATAGCAATTTATATTCCTACTTCAAATTAAGAAGAAGGAGAAGGAAGGAAGGAAAGGAAGAAAGGAAAGGAAAGAAAATTCCTCACAGGTGTGCCCTCCACTGTTGGATTTAGTTAGTTCCTGATGTAGTCAACTTGACAACCGAGAATAACCATCACATTCTCCAAGGTATTCAATTAGATATCTGAGCTAGGGTCTCTATTGTAGCCCAGGCTGGCCTCCAACTTGAGCTCATCCTATCTCTGTCTCCCAAGTGTTGGGCTGGAGGTAGACACATCCCTGCACATACACCACAGATATACATCTAGTCTGAGTGAGAATGTGTTTGCATATATGCAGGTGGATGCCACAGGTCATTCCTTAGAATTTGACTACTTTTTTTTTTTTTTTTTTTTTTTTTTTTTTAAATTTGATGTACATTTTGCCTGGATGTGTCTCTATACCACTTACGTGCCAGAGTGGGGCACCAGATCCCCTAGAACTGAGGTACAGACGATTGTGTACCACCATGTAGGTTCTGGGAATCAAACCTAGGTCCTTGGGAAAAGCGCCCAGTGCTTTTAACTTCTGAGCCATCTCACTCCCCCCACCCCCGCTTTATTTTGAGACTAGTTGATAAACCAGTGATAAGGTCTGAGATTCTCCAGTTCACCTAGGCTTACTAGCCAGGAGACCTCAGGGATGCACCCATCTCTGCCTCTCTAACTCTGGGGTTGCAGGAGTGAGTCACCATGTGTAGCCTTTTCACGTGGCTGCCTGATAATCAAATTTGGAACTAAACGATTTTCCTAGCTCCACACTTTAGTGTTTTTAAACAAGATAAATGTTAATAAAGTTTAACTTTTCAAGGAAGACATTTTTTAAGAGTATGCTAATTTTTATGTAACTATTAGTACATCTATTACATCTCTGTTTTTCTTAGATATATATAAACATATTTAACTGGAATATATTTTAAACAAAGCTTTATTTATAGGATTTGCTGACTTGGCAAAATAAAGACTATGGGTCAGCTCGGAGTATTGTTCGTATTATTGGGAGAATGCTTCCTTTAGAACCCTGTCGAAGACCTAATTTTGAGGTAAGTTAGTCACCACGCATTGTTTAAGCCCTGTGTATAAAGTAGTCCTAGCTACTCTCAGGTATATAGGATAGAAGAAATGTGCGTGCAAGCCTTTACTGCTAGAAATAAATCATCTCACACATGTTTTGAATACCTGGGAGCTTGTTTTTACCTTACTTTACTTATATTTTTGCTGTGTGATTGATGAGATTAGCCATGGGGAGAAAATGTTACTATATGCTGAGGTAGTAGAGTAACATCTCCAGTGTTTTCCCCGTTAACTTATTTAATATGATGAAGCACGAGGCATGTGTTTTCCCTGATTCCTGATGAAGCTCTGAGTTTTTCATTTTTGTTTTAGTTGATCCCACGCTTGAACTCTGAGGAATTTGATGATTATGAACCTTCAGTTCCATCTTTTGCTGATGTTTTGTGTGTGGCAAATGATGAAGAAGCTGGTTATCTCAGATTTCGGTAATTTTATATGCTTGTCTTGGGACATGGATGTAGCATAAAACTTGAATTCTTGCACTTACTGAAGTTTGTTCCTACTTACTGAACAGTTTTATCCTGTTTTTGTGACATGCTATGTCCTGATATTTTCCTAATATCAGGAATGGCACCTCAGTTTTTAGTGTATATACATGTATTTTAAAAAAAGGCTCTTTGCATTTAAATTTTTGAAAGTTACTTTTCCCTTTCATACACAAGTGCATTTTATTTTTATCAAATTACCCCTCACCCTTCCACTCCAACTCTTCCTATATCCTCTCTACTTTCTTCCCAATCTCATGTTGTCATGTATGTGTGTGTGGGTGTAAAATCTAAGTCCAGTCTAATTAATGGTATCTGCATGTACATGGATGGAGTGCAGTCTTTTAGGACCTGAAGTACATTGCTCCAAGATCTTTGGGTTTTTTAAAATTTCCATTGAGAAGTCAGCTGGTATTTTAATGGGTTGGCCTTTATATGAATTGTAACTTCTTTCTTTTTTTCTGTATGTTCAATGTTTTAACTATAATATGGCATGGGGAATTTCTTTTGGTTCAGTGGTTGTTCTGTGTGCCTCCCGACTCTGAATGGGCATCTCCTTATTTAGTTATAGGACATTTAGTTATAGGACATTTTCTGATATGATTTTATTGAATGATCCATGCCTTGGCCTGGAATTCTTCAGTTTCTCCTAAAGTTGCTGTGTATTCCTATCTTTGGTACTTTTTTTTTTCCTCTTAAAGATTTATTATGTACACAACATTTTGTCTGTATGTCTGCCTGCCCAGATCTCATTGTAGATGGCTGTGAGCCCTTATGTGGTTGCTGGGAATTGAACTCAGGACCTCTGGAAGAGCAGTTTGGAATTGAACTCTGGACCTCTGCAAGAGCAGCTAGTGTTCTTAACCTCTGAGCCATCTCTCCAGCCCATATTCCTTTCTTTAATTTACTGTTTTATTTGATTTCGTGGTCCATTTCCTGTATCCTTTCTTCAGATTCTGAAGCTGTTTTCTACCACACCCGTATTGTTGGTAAGGGTTTTAAATGGATGGTTGAAATTTTCATCTCCACCTTAATTTGCATTTGTATTTTCTTTAACATTTCAATCTCTGTTGAATTAAATTTTCATGTTTAAATTGTTTCATTTGTTTGTGTTTTCTTAAACTTATTCAGGAATTTATTCTTGTCTTCTTTATGTTCGCCTAGGTGTTTGTTTCCTGTTTAAACTCTCTGCACTCCTTATAGTTACTTTTTAAAAAATTCTGTATTTTGAGATTTTTCTGAATTCTTTTTGATGATGAATATTACTATAGGATTGTGATACTAGGGGGGCCATAGTGTCTTGGTTTTTTTCATGTTTATATTTTTACAGCGGGACCTGGGGTACCTCGAGTTAGGTTGTGGAATTGATGGGACTTTTGTAGTCGACTTACGTTGAGTGGATGTTTGTTTGTTTCCTGTTACTGTGTGGACTGGGATTGCTGATCCAGGCTGGCTGTGTAAGTGCCGGGTGAGGCCTCCAAGACAGGTGGGATAGTGGGATGAGACTGAGCTGTCAGCAGAGCCCCTGGATGCCTTGTTCATATTTCAACCTCACAACCGGCCTAGGGGCCAGTGGGCTATCACGTGGGTATCAGGGTCACATTAATATTGTTTTCTGTATTATAAATAAAGTGTTTAAAAATAAATATTAGACTTAGCATTTAGCCTTCTATCATGATTTCCGTATGGGCTCTGTATGCATGGGTTCTCATATGTGTTCTACACAATGAAATCAAATATGATAGATGGAAAATATTTAGAGAGAAAATTCCAGTAGTTTCTTAAAAGCAAAAACTTGAATTTGTTGTATTTCTAATGCTATGCTGTGTTTACAAAAATGAAGTGATACAAAGTTCTTGTATTGAGTATCTTAAGTATTTTAGAGATAACTTAAAATAAGCAAAGGATATGCATAGGTGCCTTTTTATATAAGGAGTTTGAGCATCTGGCTTTTGGTATCTGCAGTGTTCATGAAACAAATTACTTCATAAATATTGAAGTGGGAAGTATTTCAAATTTTGGATGTATTCATCCTCCTAAGACTTACATGTTAGAGTATTCAGATAGAAGTTTTTAGCATCCTGAATGCCAATTATTCAAAGATTCTGGCTAATTTTATTATGTGTCAAACTGGTTTATTAGTTTAAAAAAATTGGAAGATACGAACTGACCCTAATATAGTCCTGAATGCAAGGCCCTTCTGAACCTTATGCAGAATTTCTGACTAAGTTTACTCTACTTAAAGTTAGTCAGTAAAACAATTATAGGGTAACTATTTTTGTTTTACAATTTGAGGAAGGATTTATTTCCTTATTTCTTTGCTGCTTATTGGCCATGTGTTCTATATATGAATATAAAAGAATAATGTGAGGCACTTTTTCTCTGTGAGTCTTGGGATCTTCTCAGGGCAAAGATAGATACTCTGATTTTATTTAGCTTCTTGTTTATATTTGTATGCTAGAGATTAAATCCAGAGCCTTGCACGTGCTAGGCAAGCACTCTGTACTGAGGTACATCTCTAGCTCCTGTTTTCTCTTCCTTAAAAAATTTATTTGTTGTATTTTTGTGGTGGGGAAGGGAGTGTGTGTCTGTGAATGTAGGTGCTGTGGTTAAACAACCTGATTGGGATTCTGGGAGCCAGGTTAGTCTGAACTTCATGAGAACCTGTCTCAAAAGAAAAAAAGCAAAGCAAAAATTAACTAACTTTGCAAGAAGAGTGTATACTCCTTAACCCTTGAGCCATCTTCTTTCCAGCGCTCTCTCTCTCTCTCTCTCTCTCTCTCTCTCTCTCTCTCTCTCTCTCTCTCTCTCTCTCATTCTCTCTCTCTCTCATTTTTCGAGACAGGTTTTCTCTGTGTAACCCTGACTGTCCTGGAACCTGCTCTGGAGACCAGGCTGGCCTTGAACTCACAGAGCTCTTCCTGCCTCTGTCTCTTGAGCACTGGGATTAAAGGTGTGCATCACCATTTCCACCTGAGGTTTTCTTTTTCAGTTGAACATTTTCCTCTCTTTGTTTCTTCTTTCCTTCCACCCACAGACAAAATCAATGGAAAAAGGAGGAAGAAGGGAAAATTGATCTTTTTCATTCTTCAAAACTAATTTGGAATCCATTGTTACCTGCTTGCAGACAGAACAAGCCAGTGAAAGATGATCTGCCAGCAAGTGAAGCTGCAGTTAAAAAGATAGCTGCCCTTGAAGATGAACTCACTTTCCTTCGGTCTCAGATTGCTGCAATTGTGGCGATGCAGGAGTTGAGAGACAATAAAGACACTGGTGGGTAGCACTGCAGTTTTGTTTCTACAAGAGTCATACTGAGCTGATACTTGAGTCAGCGCCGTTCTAAACGAAACAACAGAATATACACCATAGAAGGCAATTGCCTTATGCAATTATGTCTGATGGTGACTCAGAGTAAACCAAGGGCTGCCAAAAAGAGCTAGTTGTACTACTGAAGATCTTTGTTTTTTGTTTAAGAAGTCATGGCTTTTTTTTCTTTTGGTTTTTCGAGACAGGTTTCTCTGTGTAACAGTTCTGCCTGTCCTGGAACTCCCTCTGTAGACCATGCTGGCTTCAAACTCACAGAGATCCTCCTGCCTCTGCCTCCCCTGTGCTGGGACTAAAGGCATGCGCCACCACCACCGCTGGGCAAGTCATGACTTCTAAGTAAGCTTTTCTAATTCTTCAGCCAAGAATTGGAAGCCAGGCATGGTGGCTCATGCCTATAGTTCCAGAATTCAAGAGGTTGGAAAGATTGCCTTGAGCTTTCTAAACTGGTCTCAGCCATAGAGTGAGACCATGTCTCAAAAACCAAAAATGTGGCCTAGGGATAGTTGGCAGGGAGCTTGCCTCTTGTTCACAAGGCTTTGGGTTAAATCCACAGCATCTCATAAAACAGGGCCTGGTTGTGTACACTTGTAATTCTAGCACTTGGGAGGTAAAGGCACAGATGTCAGAAGAGGACATTGGCTCTCCTAGAACTGGGGTTAGAGGTGGTTGTGAGCCACCATTGGGTGCTGCGACTGAACCTTGAGCCATTTCTCTAGTCCTTAGTCTTTAGGCAATTTTTTAAAAAAAGTATTTTCTTGGGGCTGGAGAGATGGCTCAGCAGTTAAGAACACTGACTATTCTTCCAGAGTACCCAGGTTGAATTTCCAGTACCCACATGACAGCTCACAACTGTCTGTAACTCCAAGATCAGACAAACATGCAGGCAAAACATCAGTACATGAAACTTAAAAATAAAGAAATGATTTTCTTTTATGTGTGTGGTTGTCTTCTACCAGGTTGTGCACCACACGCATGGTTGGTGCCTCCAGAGACTCGAATAAAACATCAGATCCACAGGGATGGTGTTAGAAACAGTTGTGAGCTGCCACGTGGGTCCTGGGGATTGAACCCAGGTCCTCGGTAAGAGCAGCCAGTGCTCTTAAGTGCTGAACCGTCTCTTCAGCTTGCCTTAAGTTTTGATGATACACTCTCACAAAGTTCAGGTGGATAATACTTTCCAGATGACTTTTTTAAAAAAGCTTTGGAGATGTATCTTGCTTTAACCATCAAATTTAGGGTCTGGAGAGAAGGCAGAAGGCTCAGTGGTTAAGAGCACATACTGGTGTTGCAGAGGGCTTGATTTTGGTCCTTAGTGCCTGTATTGGGTGACTCATAACCATTACAACCCCAGATGGAGGGGTTGTGACACCCTCTTCTATCTTCCAAGGTCCCCTGCTCTCACATGCACTTACCCCTTATACATAACTAACAATAAAAAGAAAATCTTTCTAAAACCTATGAGACTTAAGCTGTACAGGCACTGAATTCTTTTCATAACAGATTTGGTTGTAAGGGGCTATATGTACGTATGATTACTAAAATTTTACATATATATTTATATGTGCAAAATATACAAATAACATGCAGTTACTAATGACAGCATATATTTGCAGTAAACATATAGTTAAATCATATAGTACTTTATATACATATATAAATAATTATTCATATGTATACTCTTTGTTTTTTAGCAAGGATGTTTCCTCACAGCTCATTAGGAGTAGAATTATGAGAAAGTTAAATACTCATCTTAGGATATCTCCTGTAGAGTCACACCTGTCTCTCAAATGTCATTTTACAGTGTATACATCAATTTGAGTACTGCTAACTAGAAGTTGTTAATGTTTTGCTTTTAAAACCAGAGAATGAAGTTGAGATTTTTTTTTTTTCCTATGGATTTCTAGAAATCACTTTATTTCCTCTTAAACTGCATCCTTTAGGGTGTGCCCTGAGACATCCTGACTGGATTAGAACTGAACTGACACTTCAGATGGCCATTCATAGGGTTACTCTGCAGATGGGATTAGCTTGCTTTCTTGGCTGCCTTGTTAGTTACAGAGGCTGTTAGTGGCTTCACTCACATTGGTTTTATATCTATATATGCAGGAGAGAATTGTGCATGGTCTTGGTTTCTCAACTGACTACTTTGCTTTAGGCTACTGTGACCTGAGTGATGAACCCAGCATGGAGCGAGTATGGTCAACAGCAAGGGCTGGGCTGAATGAGAAGCCAGGTCACTCTCCAAGTCCAGTGCTTTCTCCTCCTTCACCACCACCTCTGCCTCAGTTTTCTTCCCAGCCACGATTTCCTCCCAGGCAGCCTGGATCTAGCAGAGATAACCCACCTGCAATGGAAAAGCAACACTCAGGTGTTAACAAGGCGAATGGTAGCCATCATTCAGAAAGCCAGAGAGTTGGTGATGTTCCAAACATGTTGGACATTCTAAAGGACATGAATAAAGTCAAACTTCGCCCCATTGAAAGGTATGTCACCAGAATTTGGGGAAAGAACTGAAATTCTATCCATTGTTTTCAGAGAAATTGAGAGTTGGTATGTGCATCTTATTCCTTACCTCCTGGGGCCACCCTTCAGGAGACAATCACCTTCAGTTCTTTTTTATTGACTATTTTTCCATTGTCTTATACTTTTTTTTTTTTTTTTTTTTTTTTTGTGGGGGGCATGTTAATTATACTTACTCCATGTTGTAAAGAATTAGGAATACAGTAGTTCCTTCTACCCAACATTTTGCTTACTCTGAGGTTGGATACCCTTTAATGGAAAGTTCTAGTGTAGCATGATTAAATAGTTCTCTCTCTCTCTCTTTAAATGCTGTTCAGTGGTGCTGGATATCATGGAACATACCTGTAGTCCCTGTAGTTGGATGGCAGAAGCAGGCAGGATCACGGGTTCAAGGCCAGCTAGTCTGGTCTGCCTAGTGAATTCTACAGTGGGAAATTAGAAGATTAAAAAATTAAGATTGTAGCAGTGAAAATGAGAGACCTCAGATCATAACAGCTTGTGAGAGGCCCCAACCCATGTGGTTTCTTGGTTTTCTGATTTTGAATTCTTTAGTAGTCGTTAGATTCCTTAATTCATGGCAGAAATCTCTTAAAGACTAATTAGTTTATAATATGTTATGCTCCTATTCCTGCTGTGTTTGTGAACAAAGAGCTAAAATTGCATCAAAGTTTTAATGTATTTGATTTCTCTTTTTTAAAATAGGTCACCAGGTGGTAGACCCATTCAGAAGAGAAGACAGAGTTCACAGTGGGATCCAGTATCTTTAATATCCAATGCACTTAAGCAGAAGTTTGCATTTCAAGATGATTCCTTTGACATGGAAAATAGATCTTGGGAGTGTTCTCCATTTTCTAGTCCAGAAACTTCAAGGGTGAGTTGTGATAAAGCATCAACTTTTTCAAGTATGTTCTTTATGATGGGCTTTGCATACAGATTCTCTTGAAGTATTTATATAGGACAAGTTATATATTGTTTGTTTTCTGTTATTCATTTATTTGGGGTGCGATCTTACATGGTAGCCCAGGCTGGCCTGGGACTTAGGAAAATCCTCCTCCGTTAGCATCTCAAGTGCTGGAGTAGAGCTTTGATGTGCTATGCTGCGTTTATCTGTTAGTTAGGGTTTTTGTTTTTTTAATGTTAACCTTTTTTTTTTCTTGCCAATTTTGCATTATTGTTTTTGCTTTTAGCTTTCCATGAGATAAAACACGATTTGAAAGATACAGATGCACTCGCTTACAATGGTTTGCCCAAGTAGGTGCTAAGTTGATGTTGCTATCTGTGGTAGGAATGAGATAGTTGAAATTTTAAGGACTAGGGAAGAGCTGTGTAATAGAGTCAGCCTAACCATACTGCTTGTGCGCACCCTGTTATACTTGCTGTCATATATGAAAGGTTAGGGTTATTTGGTTGAACAGGATGTTGTTTTAAAAGAGCAAACAGGATCATAGTTGTGTGCCCTCCCCTGACCCTTCTCCTCCCGAGATAGGGTCACCTTATTGCTCTGACTGGTCCAGTACTCCTGTATTGAGTTCTGCCTCTGTATCCTGAATGTTGAGATTAAAGGATTGTGTCTCCTGGCCAGAATCAAAGTTATCTTTAAAGCAGTGTTTATGGATGCATAAAAAGGTGTACTTTAAGGGGTGATTTTCATATTTGTTTAGTTGAGGTCAGAAACAAGAATAAACCTTTTGCAGTTAAGAGGGCCTTGAGTGCTCTGCAGCAGAGAAACACTGAGACACCGGAAAATGGAAATGCTTACAGCTGCTCCAATAGCATGACAGTGTGGGAGGCGTGTCTTTCAGGAAGGCACATTGTCAGTTAGGTGCAGCCCATAAGGTTGCCACTGTGTGTGTTCTGAATATGAAGCTTAATCAGTTGTTAACTCAGAAAATGATATTTTATGTATGTAAGAGATTCAGGTCTAGGGATCTAGTTATGTGGTACTGTGCCTGGCTAACATGCATGAGGCAGTAGGTTCAATGCCCAGTACCCTAAAACAAACTAACAAAATACCTGCCCTTCTTCAAACAAAACAAAGAAGGTGAAAAATAGTTCTCTTTGGAATTACAAGCTGCATCTTCAGTATGCGACTGTGTCTGAAGTACATGTTTAATTCTAACATTTGTGTAGCTCTTTGCTATTTGCAAGGGAAAGGCGACTCTGTAGCCATGTGTTCTGCTTTTGTGAGTCAACCAAATCTTAGATGGAGATACTTGGAAAATGAGTAAGCAATAACAAAAATCCCTTCTGCACCTATGGTGAGCACTTAAGACATCTTTGTTTCCACTTTTCCTTAAACTACTCACAGAACATTTACCGTGTACACAGGAAGATTATTGCCCAGTGGTAGTGGATCAGTGAAAGTATCACTGGGTTGTAATGTGCTGTTTGATTCTTGTTCATTGTGCTTCTTAGTGCTTTCTTTAAAATAAAATAAAATGAAATTGTGTGTGTGTGTGTGTGTGTGTGTGTGTGTGTGTGTGTGTGTGTGTGTGTGTTTCAACTTGAGGAAGGAAATTGGTTTTCTCTTCCCACCTTGAGGGTCCTGGTGATCCAACTCATCCTCATGTCTGAAGACAGGTGTCTGTCCCCACCAAGCCATTGCCTATCTTTTCTTAGTACTTTCTAACCTCAGAAGAAACAGCACCTGTATTTACTTCATAGCACTTAGTTTCAGGCTGGATATGGAGACTCACACTTGTTGACTGAAACCTCCCGGAGGTCTGAGTTCGCAGCATGGTGCCAACTGCAGGGTGCTGGGGCTCCTATAAAGCAAGTCATAGGGGACATGTTTATAGCAGGAATTGTGGGATGCGGGCCATTGTCTGCTGCTTCTGATTCCTGGCTCAAGGGGTGAGTGGTTTTGCCCTTCTCCGTACTCCTGCTGTGGTAGATCTGTCTCATGGCTGTCAGTCTTGGACTGGAACTATGAGCCCACATGAACTTTTTGCTCACTTCTGAGTCCTCAGCTCAGAGCACAGGGTCTGACATAGTTCCCTGTGAGTATGCTGTGGAATGAACTCAGTCTCTAAGGGTCATCTAATACTTGTACTTGCCGGGCTTTTTGCTTTGTCTTTCTCTCTTTTTTCTTTTCTTTTTCTTTTTTTTTAATTTCTGTTTTAAACATTTGCTTTTTTTCAGTTTTGATGTCACATTTGTCCAACCAAAAGTCAGCGATCTAAGAGAAGAGCTGATAATATAAAAGCAGTTATTCAAGGTCAGAAGTGAAAACTGCGCCTGCATTTGGAAGGACAGATCCAGGAACACCTCGTGGATTTCTTCATTGCCTTTCAGAGAATCACAGCCTCTGTTAGGGACCTATCTGTACCCAGCCTGAGGAAGATGTTTGAAAATGCTTGTTAACTGAAGAGTTGGGTGTATAGATTCCCTACTTTATGTGGATGCTACTGAAAATGGAATATATACTTCAGAGATTTCCTAAACAACCCTGGCTTCCTACTTAAGCTCCTTTGTAATAAGTTGGTATGTGGGTTATTTTGGCCTTCAGCAACTTGGAAATTTTTTAGAGAGCAAAAGACAATTCTTTCCATTAAGAAAGTCATAGTTTTAGTCAGATAGGATTGAACTTTCTAAAACTTACTGAGGTAATAAATTATTTTGATTGCCAAATGCTACAAGTAGAAGTAGACTCTTGAAAAGTTTTATCCACACTGACCTTTTACATACATGTGCCTGGCATGTTTCCTATGTTTTCTATTACATTTGCACTGTTTTTGTACATAATAATGCCTGGCATATTTCCTTTATTTTCTATTACATTTGCACCCTATTGTTTTTTGTAAATAGATTGTACAATAAATGGATCTTTTGATCTTGGTTGACTTTTGTAACAATTCAAGTTATATTTTAATATTTTATGAAGTCTAATTTCTTTGTGATAGATGGTTGTGTAGTTAGAGCTTCTTGGAACATAAAATGAAACACATAATTTGCAGAAGACATTCTCTCCTCATCTGTATGATAATGTGATACACAAATTTGCATGTTTTCCATTTGCCTTAGTCTGGGCTACAGCCAGGGAGCAGGGAGGTAGAGTCCATGTCAGTGGACTCAGTACTCACCCAACTGTGAAATCAGTTGTCTGATTTCAGAAGAGCCTAACGTGCCCATCACTTCTAGTTATTCATTAAAATTTTATTGTAAAGAACTTAGAAATAAAAAACATCATACAATAGGGCCTCCATTTTGAATGGCACTTATGGCTAGCCTTAGTGCTTTCCCTATATTGACTCATTCAATTCCTCACATCAACAATATGGGTGTAGACTTTTGTTAGCCTCACTTAGTAGATGAGAAACTGGGCATAGGAAGTCACTAGCCCAGTTAATCTCCTAGGACCTCACAGCTTATTAAATAGTGAGTGAGGATCGAATCCGGGCAGATGGGTTTTCCCACCCACATTTTGACCTTGAGAAATACTTTAAACAGTTATAAGATTTTAACCTATTTAAAGTTTATTACTGAAAGCATTTCACAGATAAAGGCTGTAAAAGCAGTGTAGCAACAAATTTCAAGAGTCAAAAACAAAACAAAACAAAACAAAAAAAAAAAAAAACAAAAAAAACAAAAAAAAACCCTTAAAGCTGTAATTTTCTGTATTTACCACTAGAGGGAAGCACAACACCGGGCACACCCAGGTTGAGAGCAGCTGTTAACCACATCAAAATGACAGCTGCTTAGAAGTCACAGACAAAACAAGGGTAGATGAAGTATTAGTTGCACAAGCAGCTTATATAAAAGGAAAGTCATACATTAGAAATAGTCATATCCTTGACACACATACTAAGCTAATTCAACTTTCCCCCAGAAAATAGACACCTATCTTTAATTAAATTATACTTATTTGTTTTGTGTGTATATGTGTTTATTGGAGGAATTGTTTGTATGGGCTCTGGAAGATCAGTCTCAAGTCGTCAGGCTCAATGGCAGGTACTTTTACCCACTGAGCCATCCTGCTGGCCCACAAGTAGATGTTTGTTAAAAGTCAAAGATTAAGCAAGCCATGATATTGTTTAATTGTTAACATTCAAGGTTGCTGTAGGACTCTTCCGAGTTCCTAAGCTTGATGTGACTATTTTGTGCTGTGGAAAGCACAGGAATTACTGTGAGTAGCATGACTACAAGTTATGCTTTTATTTCAGCTTTGTTTTGGTAAGGTGATAGAAGTTTTACTGAGTAACTAGAGTTTATATATACATTATAATACATGTGTAAACGAATCCATGAGAGCCTGATTAAGGGGTATCAAGGATTTATTCAGATATGAAAAGGGAAAAATGCACTCAAGAATACAGGATATGGTGAATCCAGTTGCAGAGTCCTTGGAAAGCTGGGGACTGATCACATGCTGCTTTCTTGTCACTTGATCTGGTCTTCACCACCCAAGAGAGTGCCATCCCCTCCTTCCTTTTTAAGGGGTCACATTTGTGGGTGAGAAGCATCACCTCCATGGTGCCAGAAAGCCCAAGGTCGTGTGCAGAGCGAATACCCACTACATACATGTGTGTACTGTAACTGTGTAAAAGATATCATCCCTGCATGTTCCCTGATGTTAGTCCAGCATCTGGGTCGAGAGCTAACCCTGACCAGGGCCATTAGCAATTTTAGAGCCACCCACTAGGGCATGGAGTTATGTGTGGTGATGGAGTTAGGGGTGCTGGAGGTTATCCTCTGGGTGGGTTGCAGCCTGCAGCATCTATCTGCAGCATTTGCATGGTTGTCCTCCCCAAGGACCGTGCAGTTTACCTCTGCCTTAAATAGCTGCTAGCTAGGGGGCTGTGCTAAGCCTGCCATTGTCAGCCTTCTCCGGAAGCCATACCATGCTTTCTGCTTCCATAATCCGGTGTGTGGTTAGATGATGACTAATCTTAGCCAAATTCAGTGCACACTTAGTTTGTATTAATGTATCAGCCACAATACCGAGCACTTTAATACACTTTCATTTGTCAAGTCCTTTCCATAACTTGCTCATACACTCTTCAGAGGAATGGAGAGGTTGGTACTAGACCTGAGATTATATCACTGTAAACCTCGGAGCCATGACTCATGCCCTAGGCAGTCTGGCTGTGAAGTCTGAGCCCCTCACAAGCTTCTCCCACCCAATGCCATCTGCCATTCCCGATGACTCCAGTCATGCTCAAGAGAGGCATGCAACTTCTGGTCCACAAAAGGACACACGGGTACAACCCTATGTCTTTTCCTTTGCCCTTTCTACCACATAGAATTCCTATTCTTGCTGCAAGACGTTTTCCCTAAAGCCTTTCAGTGGACACGGCCATTGCTTACTCTTTCACCCAGAACCATGAACTCTCTGCTGTTGGGTCTGTTGCAATATTGCTTCCTGGACTGGCTCTCTCTAATCCCACCTGCTTTTTTGAGCAATTTGAGCATAGGAACTGGATCTTATCTTACTTCCTTCTACACTCAACAGTTACTAGGTATACAGTTTACTTCATTTATCAAAGCTTTTCAAGAGAGATAGTTATCCCTATTCTATAGATGAAGACAACGGAATGCATAGGACTCAGGTAGTTTATTGAAGGTCTGTTTCTACCAAGTGTAAGAGCTGGGATTGAACCCAGAATGCCTGATTAATAATCTGTGCTTGTCACTGTTAGACCTCTTGATAATACATGGTATCCCGTTTGTCAAAATAGTCTTGATGTAAATTTAAAACTCAGGGTTGGGCCTAAATTGGGTGTGGTCATGCATTTGAGAGGCAGAGGCAGTAGTTTTAAGTTAAGTAGTTTAAGGTCAACTCAGCCTACAAGAGATTGTCTCAAAAACAAGTAATCCCCAGACTAGTTTGGTCAAGTGACCCAGGCCCAGATTCTAGCTACCTGAGGCAGGAAGATTGCCAAGTTCAAGATATTCATGGGCCACAGAGTGAGGTCAAGGTCAGGCTGGGAACTTACACACTGTCACAAAAAGTGAAAAGAAAACTCATCGCTTGCCCAGCATTGCATAAGGCTCTAGGTCCAACTCAGTTTTGGGGGAAAACGGTAACAGTCTTTTGTACAATCAGCCCACCCCGCTGCCTGACCCACCTTCTGCTGCTGCTCTTGGTGGTAGTTGTGTGTTCCTTCAGCGTGGATGTGCTCTCTCTTTTGTGAAGCAGCCTCCAGTGTGGCCACGGCCAACGAGAAACTCGGGAAGACTGGAGACAGAGAGCAATGATTTCACAGATCTGAAGGTGGCAGGGCAGATGGTTCTATGGTGCAGTTTAAGGTTAAGAGGCAGGCACCACTCAGTGAGGTAATGAAGGTCTGTTGTGAAGCCCAGGGTTTGTCTGTGGGACAGATCACATTCCAATTGGATGGCAACCAATCAGTGAAGCAGACACATCTGTGTTTAGAAGAGGAGGATGAAGAAATGGATGTGATCTACCAGCAGACAGGTGTCTGGAAAAATCTTTCAAGCCACGATTTTGTGATAGACCAGAAACACACTCTCCATTAGGAAGACACAGTTTGGTTCTAGTGTGTCCAGACTCCCACAGTACAGTTTCTCTGTCCCTTCACTAACCTTACTCTGTTGCACATAAATCTGGCATACTTAAAAGACCAGCAAAGACTGAACAGCCAATGTTCTGTTTTGGATGACATCAGCTGGAAGCAGTATGGGGCAAAGTACTGGTTCTGTGAAAATAGCCCCTTTCTCCTGGCAGGGTTACTCAGCCCCTCATAGTCCAGGCAGTTTTTTGTTCTCATTGTATTAACAACAACAACAACAAACCAAACCAAAATCCTTGCTTACTTTATTTGAGAATTTGAATGTTTTTAATCACTGTAAAACTAAGGAGTGTTTTCTACCATTTTTACACATAGCTGGTGTTACATGTAGAGCAATCTGCCTTCAAGTAGGAGTACAAAATGAATCCTAGCTTTCTCTGCAAGTGAAGCATTTGCTTGCTTAAACAGCTACATCTGTGATTCTTAGCAGACTTTACTCAAGGAAATAAATAAAATGCAAGTTGATTGCTCAAACATGTGCTGCTAGGTTTTATAGCTAGGATTTAAACCAGGATTGCCTAAGGCCCTAAGAAGATTAGACCTCCTTGGCTGTGTGTGTCCCTGTGCTAGGAGCCATTTCATTCCTGGGCCATGGGATGGCCCTTTGGTCCTGACAGGGACCACAGGCTGGCCCTGGGGGGCGGGGTGGGGGACTGGCTAACACCGCTGACCACACTGAATCTAGGGGCCAGAAACCTGCCCAGCCCAGTGTTTTTTCTTCTGCTCATGGATCATGGAAGTATCTACTCAAGAACTGCCTTGGATTCTGGAATACAGCTTCAGGAGAGTAATTATTTGTTCTCTGAGGATGAATTTGATTTTTGAAAGTAGTCAGGCAAGAAACAAGCCCGAGGAATGAGTGGATGATGGAACTGGATAGAAAGTTTGGTTACCATGAAGTGTGATTTTTCAAGTTTATTTATTTATTTATTTATTTTAAGCAAGTGTTGTACTCTGACTCGGAGGCTCAGCTTCTCCCTCCCTTTCTATACACAGAGAATAACTATCTCAACCTGGCTTTGAATTCATAATTCTCCCTGCCTGCCAAGCACTAGGATTGATTATAAGTGTGTGTGTGTGTGTGTGTGTATACCTGGCAACACTGAGTTTTTAAAAGTACATTGTTAATAAAATGACATTATCCAAGTTAAAAAGTAGCAGAATACAAAACAGACAAACAAACAAAAACCAGAAAAACCAGTAGCTCTTCTATATACAAATGACAAGTGAACTGAGAAAGGAATTAGGGAAATAATGCCTTTCACAGTAGTCTCAATATAAAATATCTTGGAGCTAACACTAACTAAGCAAGTGAAAGAATTACATAATAACTTTAAGA